CTCATGGAGATTTCAGAGCCCAACACATATAAATAAAGGCAATACCGAAATCGAAAGCGATGGTGCAATGTTAACAGATGAACTGAGCTTTCTCGGTCTCAAACAATATAATAGTTTTAAAAATTAAGCCAGTAATATTTTGGATTAAGTATTTTCAAATATTCCACTTGAAATCGCAATTTGCAAATCGCTCCTTGTAAATGTTGACCGCGCCCATGCTCCCGCTAGTACTAGAAATTTAAATATTATTTATTATTTATATAATAGACGTTTCAATCATATAGCTTACTGAAGCCTTTAAACCCAAATATGTTTTTAATAAAGCAATTGGCTTTACGAGAAACTAAATGAAACTCTAAATAGTATCGATGGGCGAACACAATTACAATCTTGCACGATCCAAGAGGCTTGTGATAACTTATATAGTGTAATAAATGATGCTATACGGCAAAAAGTACCAGTTAATAAACATAATAAATATAAATAACCTATCTGGTATAGTCCCGATTTAATAAAAATAATTAAAGAAAAATCGAAAACACACAAAAAATGGAAACGGTTTTGCTGTCACATCTAATGTATAAATAGGTCACATCTAGAATCTTTACTATATAACGCCTACATTCTTGATATTACAACTTGTTTTAAGTTTATACAACATTTAATGTACAAGATTTTTTTTTTCATAACATCCGTACTGAGCAAGACTGTCATCAAATGCAAACTGATGTAAACGATTTGGTACCATACTATTCTAGTTAATATTGATAAATGCGAATGTATTAACTTTACACGTAAAAAGAAACCTATTACATTTTCCTACAATTATAACGGTATTCCAATACAAAAACATCTACTGTTAGAGTTTTAGTTCACTTTGACAGTAAAATGCATTTATAAGACTATGTTCACAAAATTGTTAACAAGGCTTTTAAAAATCTTGGATTTGTTATGAGAAGATGCAAGCCTTTTAAAGATATTAATAAATAATGTATAATGCTTATGTTTGTAGTATATTAGAATAATTTATTAGAATAATTATGAAAGTCCAATTTAGTCATCTTAGTAAGCTACTTATAAAGATCATATAAAATGCATACAGAAAAAGTTCATCAGCATCTAAATTATCGTTTTCTCAAGTCACCATTGATTACTTATGAAAATACTTGTCATTCTTATAATTCATCCATTATTTATCGTCCATTATTTACGGCTTTTTTCTAATGAAAAAAACCGTAAATAATGGACGTTTGTTTTTTGGATGCTGTTGTCCGTGGACACGAAGACCGCCCCCTTTATTGCATGTGCCGTTTGTTGTCACCAATTATGAACCGCTTGCTCAGGACATGCAATGAGATCTTTAATGATATAGATCTTTTTGTTTTTAGTAAACCATCTTTTAAAGTTAAAACAATTAAGATTCTAAATGAGGTGCAAAATGGGTTGATTTACTAAATTATGATGATCATCATTACAGTCCTTCACAAGTACACTGTTGAACGCGGGCCCCATCCACCCTACTTAACGAACGGCAATAAAACAATAGTAATAATAGGCATCTTTGACCTTGTCACTTCGCATGTTCACTGGCTAGGGTAGATATGATTTGATTTCAAAACATTTAATTTAATTTATTTATTTAATTCAAAATGTTTCTTTCAAAGATATTTTTGTTTTATTTTTTGTAAAATATCAGTGCCATTCTACTCCGTTCGCAAGTTACGCCCTATTTTTTTCCAGACGGTAAAAAGGTCATCCAGTTTATAATTTACATACATACTATAAATAGTACCGTCCATAATATATATTATTTATTATTATTAATATATGTTTATATAAATAGAAAAACTTCAAAAGGCTTTACACTTAAGGTCTATACTATAGAGCTTAAGTGTAAGGTGTATAAACCTTTTGCTTCAATTTATTATATAAAGCTTATACTCGAGTGGCTACAATGGAAAAGGCCGTCAAAGGATTTGAAGTCATTGGGATGTATCCATTAAATCCACATATTTTCAGTGACAGTGACATTCTAACTTCTGATCCTATTGTCGAAGAAGTAACCTCCCTCAGACAAGTTCATCAATGCTGTTGACAATCGGCTTATAGAGTCAATGACTGGACATGAAGAATCCACCCGTAGCCTCATATCATCACCGTCAATTTTAAGCCAGCCTAAAAATTTACCACCTGACGCTCCCAGACAGCAAAGTAACCAAAACCAAGATATTGAATTATTTGGTGAAGAATCGCCGTCAAAAAATAGCATTCCATTATTTTGACATCAACACCGTTAAAACAGCAGCTAAAAGGAAAAAAACGAAAGCGACAAGTAAAGCAAATGAAAACTGAAAAAGACAAAAATTTTAAAGAGAAGAAACAAACTAAAGAAATGTGTGTTAAAAGGGAAGTTGTGAATAGCAGCGAAAAAAATGAGGATGAAGACTCTGAAAAACAAAGGGACTAAGTTAGTAAAAGGAAGAAAGAGACCCAAAGTTAGGTCAAAGAAATATATTAGCAGCAGTGAAGATTGTGAGGACGATATTCCCATCGCTCAGTGGTGCGATGATGATGACGATGATGTGGAGAATCGTGATATTTGCGCCGTATGTCCAGAATTTTTGTCGTGATAGAGTATGTGGTTCCATTGTTGTGGCATGCTCGAATTGGATACTTAAGGAATGTAGCGGAAAAGACTTTCCCGAAAATTTCTTTGGTGATTTTTGCATTGATTAATGCAACTTTATTTCTGATAATAAGGCTGACAGAAGGTATTGCTGAGATATATTTTTGCTGACTTAATTTTTGAGATATATTTAATTGCTGAGATCATTTTAATAAACAATCATTGATAAAATAATAAATTTATAAGTACATAAGTTTTATTGACTTAAATAATCTAAGTTTCTGTTATTATTTCGTTATAGCTTGTATAGTTTATTTATATTGTTCTAAAAGATGTCTCAATAAAAATAAAATAATATCTTAAAATTATTTTTTAAGGTTACTCGTAGTTTACGTTATTATTATGGGCACGATTTTATCAAACCTCGGCACGATATTATACAAACAGTCTGATAATACCACGCTCTCACGTTCTTTTTTAAATCGTAATGATTACTTTCTGTTTATTTATTTTTTTTAGATATTTTGCCATGTTGTATGTGTAGCTAAATAAATTCTCCACTACTTAAACGCTTTTTGAATCTGTATATCAAACTGTTGGCAACGCGAGGCATACATTTCACTAAATCATTCATTGTTTCTTAAAATAAATGTTAAATTCATGATTATTTTTATATCATGCCAATTTCTGAGAAATATAAAGAAAAATAGAGATATTTGTATTAACTTTGAGTCATGGATCATCAGCAATCGGTTATGTAATGCTAATTAAATTTTAAAAATATTTTTATTTAATTTTAATTAATAAATGTATTAGCACGGATATATCAGTAATAGATAAGATAAGGAAAGTTATAATGCTATAATGGAAATGGAATATTATATGTCCGACCGGGATAAGCATAAATATTAGAGGAATGGCAAGGCACGGAATAAGCATAAATATATGGGTCCCGAGGGCTGTGCAGGAATGAGTTTGTCAACTAGCATACGAGTAGGTTCTTAGCAGAAATGAAAAACGCAAGTCCGAACCGTTTCTTAAAGATAATTAACTAAAATAATATTTTTATTAAAGTATGAAAATGCATGTAATAGCTATTTATTAATGTTTTGAATAGATTTGTATAATGATAAGATGATAAAAATGTTTAAAGAATTTTATTCTAGTAATAAAATAGCGAAATAATAAGAAAAATATGTATGTGATAAAATTTTAATTTTGCTTACAAGTTTTAATTATTGCACTAAATCAAAAAAATGGTTGTATTGTATAAGATATGTGAAATTAGTAATGATAATTATATTATAAAGTTTATATTCGACATGTTTATGGCTGAAAGAAATTTATTGTAAAATAGTGATATTTCGTTAAATATTTTATTCATTCTTTTTGTTATGTGAATGTTTTTGTTTTTACAATGGGTTCTGTCTGTAATTTAAGTGAAATACAATTGTTTTGTAATGTTGTCTTGGGTAATAAAGTTATGGGATAATGTATTGAAATGTGTTAGTGAAAATTATTATTGATCAAAGTATTTCAATATGGCATTTGCGCGCGCGGTTTTTTTTCGGTTTAGCTTTTGGGTAGGCAATTATTATTAAGCCTTCGAATTTGTAATTTGTTCGGAGTAAGCTACAGTTTCCAGTTTTAAAGTAAGAAAGAAAACGAAAGTAAAGTGAAAGTTGTGAAATTTCGGTATCACATTTCCAAGGGGTATTTACAAACAATCACTGTTTTATTTAAAGACCTCTTCAGTTTCCACTCTAAAAGTAGGGAAGTAAGAAGATATACAGTCCACTTTTATTAAACTTTTGATTTAACTACGCGAATAGATAATGAGCAATGCCAGGAGTGATCTAAGCTATATTTTGTCTGAAAAACTTGGAGAATTCTTTTTGTGAAAAGAAAAATTTCATAAAATAAACGGTCATTGATGATTACTTTAAAAAAGCTAAATGACGATAAGAATAACGCTAATATTTTATAAACACGATAAGGGCACTAATTTCACTTTTTTCTGCTGTGAATATGTCAAGCATTTAATCATATAATCGTTTTAGAACAATTGCTCTCAAAAGTAACGCGTATTGTTTTTAATCTGCCATCCATAATGTTTTAGATGTTCTCAATAAGAGATTTAAGTTAAATGGCACCCATATTGTTTATAAAAGTATTAATTAAAACAACTTGTGAAATATCTTTCGGTAATAATAATTTTTAAACGTATTACTAAGTTAAGCTCTGACCTCGTGGGCCTAGAGGCCGGCTGCTGCATATTCTATAACGTTTAAGGGGCTTATGTGCTACATTTGGCGGGCGCTTCGGCTACCGCAACACAGTTGTATAAATACATACATAAATAATTAAGACTTACAACTTTCATCCATTTCTAAATATGGATAATCTTCACATGGTTCTGTCAGTTGTATTTCAAGCTCCTGTAGAGCGCCCTGGTGTAAATCTTGTGTATCATCACTGTGTCGCCTCCGCTTTGAACCTGGGACTATTTTCCTTTCTCGTGATTGCCCACCAGATTTACTTTTTATTATGTATGAATACCGTTCAATTGCAGATGTAAGAGTAGCGCAGGTTTGATTCGTCACCTTATAGAAAAATTATTAAATTATGTTATCAATGTGCGCTATATAGCTAATATTAAACATATTGTAATATTTATATAAAGATACAACATTAGGGGTCGCTTGGCTTTAAGCTTTCACAAAAATCAATAATTTTAGCAATGAACCGCATGCTGCTTTGATGCGGCTTTGGTTACTGGAGAATCAAATTATTTTTAATATTGCATTTTAATATTAAAAATCACTTACCTTAACATTAAAATTAGAAGGATTGAAGGTGAAATAAGCGTTTTCCGTCGTTTCATGCTGAGGTTTTGGCCAAACCTCTCCTTTGGTGGGTGGATATTTAGGTCCGGGATTGACAATAGACATGCAAATGATATTTAGAACACACAATGAAAAAATATATGTAACAAATACTAGGCGTAACATTTTTGAAGAAGTAAATCAACAATCAGTTGTCCGACATCGATCGATATATAACCAAGACTGGCTTCATTAATAAAAGCTGGTATCGATAAGATTATTAGTGGAAAAACATTATTTACTGCTTGTAAACAAAATAACGATATATTCTGATAAATTTGGTAACCTTTGTATGTCGTGCGGTAAAAATGGCATTGGTATCATGATTTATGTCAAGATTTAATTATAAAAGCGAAATGCTATCACATATTGTGCACATTTAAATAGCACCGAATCACTGAAATAATATGAAGTTTATTTATTTTTTCTCGAGTGTTTTATAGAACTTATAACTTCTAAACATTTTAAATGTGTAATGTGACGTACCTTGTGTCATTTTATTCTTTGCATTACGGGTCTACTAATAAAAACATGATAAGTACAATATGTTTTTTACTGTTAACTTAGTTTAAGTTCAGGGTTCGTAAGGTGCCAGAATACCAAGAAGTCCTGCTAAACCACTTGTTCTGCCGTTACCAAAGACTTATTAAACTACTGATGACCGTTACGCTTAATGTTAGTAGGGTCTAATTATTCATACTCAAAGAATTCTCCTGTCGTTCCACTCAGTAGGTATCTCAACGACTTTGGTGGGCCAACGGATATAAATATTGTAAGAATAGCGCATTTCCACAGGCACTTATTGTTTACATGTCCGAATTTCTATTAGGTAACTATTGGTACAATTAACAGCCAATGTGCGTTAGATAATTAGAACAATTTAATGGAGCGTCGGTAAACTAAATAAATAAATATTTACGACACATCTCGTCATGATCCCCCAAAACTTCGAACAACTACATGTTGCCAGTGGTTACATATGGATTTGAGACAGTCCTTCACAAAGAGCTTTGTGAAGAAGCTCAAGGTTGCTTAGCGAGCAATTGAGAGGCATTGCTTGGGATTTCTCTGCGCGATAGACTTAAAAATGAGTATACACGCAGTAGAATCGGAGTTAACGAGAATCTAATACATCTGACGGTACGTGTCTATAGCAGGCTATGAAATAAAAAGGTCATGAGAGTGGCACGATCCGTTGTCAGTCCCAAAGAGTATTAGAGTAACTAACTAAGACAAGTATCTCAGACACATTTCTGTAATACAATTCTTTAATTTAAGGAAATGTACTAAAATACTTGTACAAAGTACTTAAAGTACATTACTCTGCTCGGTGATAGTCTGGTATAGAATATACTGGCGTAAAAAAAGAAACTATATAAGGTTAAGTAAGGCACTAAGAGTAAGATTATATAAATAAAATATTTAAACCTTAATTGAAGAGAAGCATTCTTGATATGATAGATATATAATATATATATAATAGATGGAGAGACAACCTGGTAAGACATGCAGGAAGTCCATGGATGCAGGTGACTCAGAACCGTGCTTTTATTGGGGGAGGCCTATATTCAGCAGTGAACTGGTGAAGGGCTGCAATGATGATGATGATGAACCGCAAAATACCGTGCTCGTATATTCAGTTTATTTTGAGACATTATTGTCATCAACCGTACTCTGGATTAAGCTATCGTTAAAATCTTCCAAGAACTTCGCCAATGTGAGGCACGTGATTATTTTTGTAAACAAAATATAAATCGATTAGGCTCTATGATGTAAGACCTTTGCCTGCAATAATTGGCAAATCGTAACACAACACCAACCACGACAAAACTAAACTTCAAATTGTATGTTCAACAAGAAAAAAGCATTGTTCAATATTTTCCTATATTTTCTATTTCTGTTTTTCTGAACTGAAATTCAAAAAATCCAAGAAGCAAGGTAATTTTTTGACATATAAGCGTATGACTATGATATGACAGTGTAATTTTTCACGTACGTAGTATTAAACTTAATATTTACACGATATATTTAATTCTAAGACGGAAGAAAAATCAATATGAGTCACTTAAATTTTTTCATTATAATTTGTTCGTTCGTTTATATTTCGCATGCAATTAATTTGACTGAAGAAGATACGGGTAGCGGTAGATATGTTATCGAAGGTCGTGTATATCCACCAGAAGATCAGGACTTAACAAATTGGCAAGTAGAAACAAGAATTCACGTAAATGGTGGTGAATACATCGGGTTCGTTAAGGAGGATGGATCATTCACAATACATAACATTCCTACGGGATCATATGTTGTGGAAGTCGTCAATCCTGACTACATGTATGAACCAGTACGTGTAGAGATCAACTCCAAAGGTAAATACAGAGCCAGAAGAGTCAATTACATTCAAACATCGCAAGTTATCCAGGTACCATACCCACTAAGAATGAAAGCATTGTCTAAATTTCGATATTTCCAAATACGTGAACAGTGGCGACTAACTGATTTCCTATTCAATCCTATGGTGATTATGATGATTCTCCCACTGCTTCTTATTATGGTTTTGCCCAAAATGATGAATGACCCTGAGACAAAGGAGGACTTGAAACAAATAACAAATTTGGCAAAAATGTCAGAAATGCCTGAAATGTCTGAAGTGATAACAAATTTGTTTAGTGGGGGCTCCACAGCTAAACCTTCAACTTCCAAGTCTAAACAAATCAAAAAGCGACAATAGAGATGAAGTTATTGTAGATAATTTTAGTAAGTGAATTTTGTAGGCATTGTTCTACATTAAATTGTTAAAAATAATACAGTTTTTTATTTAACAATATAATGATCTTTTATCGTACCATGTATTTTAGGTGCTTAGACAACATTAAAAATATTAAATGTGTTCTAAACTTTGGTTACATTAAATAGACTACATAAAATTTAAAAGTTTCTAGTTTCTCAATACCTTTTACCAATTATTAGTTACTCTTGTATAAGAGTTAAATAAAATCATTATTTTGATACAAAATAAGGGTGTTATAGAAGCATACAGTACACTTGATGGTAAGTGGATGCTATGACCTATATACATTTACATTTTTCCTTCACTGCATATTAAAATGCAGGTGCATTGTGTGTTGTCGAAGTCATAAGTGCGGAGATACAAAACCCAGGAAGTGATCGTAAACTCTACGATACTGTAACCAAAAATATGATTCACGGTTCCTGTGGTGCACTATATCCGTCATCACCTTGGATGAAGGAAGGAAAATGCACCAAAAAGTATCCAAGGGCGCTTTTAAAAGATACTCAAACTAATGACAAAGGCTATTCTCTGTACATCCTTAGAACACCAGAAAATTGCGGCTGTATGATAACTCTAAAAACAAGGTGGAACACAGGAGGTGTTGGTAGACAATAGCTGGTTTGTCCCACATTCTTTTCACTCTAAACTTTTTAGTTCTCATATAAATGTAAAGTTCTGCAATACAGTACAGGTGATAAAATATATTTGTAAATATATAAACAAAGGTGCATTGTGTGGTCACAGAGGACTAAGATGGTATGCTTTGATACCAGTATAGTCTCAATTTTCATTACCATAATTACATCAGCTTTATGCTGCAGTTTGACATGAATAGTTAATCAGATAGTCCCGTTGGGTTTCTTGCTGGTTCTTTCCAGGACAGAGGTTCTTTTTGCGAAGCAGTGGTAAATGAAAAAATTGACTTTCAAGAAGTATCGTTTATAATCTACATTGAATAAAAAAGTTTCTGTTTCAGTGTGGTATTAATTTGCTTGAACCAAGCTGCAGTTTTATTAACAAAAAATATATATAGGATACTAAAAATGTAAAGAAATATGTCACATGTAATGTTTATATCTCAATTGATGTATTTTAAATTCTTGCAATTAACTATATAATACAATATGTTGAATTTATAATTTGTGTGAGTGCTAGAAACTACTATGGAAATGTATCTTATTTTATTTATAATCATAGTTTTATTAGCTACAGTTGCTTAATTTCACAAGATTAGAGACTACAACATAATTTTTTGATAATAATGAAATTGACCTTAAAATAATTGCTTAAAGCTTAACATGCATGATGCATGGTAGGTGAATTATTTACAAACATTGACTAATAGAATTGACATGGAATGATTATGCAGACTCATTAATAGAAAAGAATATTTCCATTCAATGTATGTAGATTACTATATATTACTTATTAAATGTCAGTTTTTAACTTACACCATTGGTTTGGAAAATACCTCTAACCTGGGTAATAATGTTATCGAAACTGAATTACAGCCATGGCAGCAGTCTCAACAGAGATTAGCTATTTATATAAGATAGAATTATAGAGTCAGGGTGTATACGCAAACACAGGTGTACTATAGTCCCTCACTCTCATAGTCCAATGGGGTGGCAATTCAATATGAATGAGATATCAGGCCCAGGACCAACATCTACGAGTATATGTGCTTTCCAGGGCACAGGTGTGAAATAGGCTGGTTCTGCAAAATGCGACCCAGCAGTGTTGGACTCAGTGGAGAGACATGCTATAAAGTTTATTGGTAACCTTGACTTTTAATTAAGTTAAACCAATCTTGTTAGCCTGGGTTATTTCGATTATCCACCCTGTGGTGGATATTCGGCAACAGGTTTTCGTTTATCCACTTCAGACAGGGTGGATAATCGGAATTCACTTTTTCATTCACAGTTCTACAGAAAGGTACTCATACTTTAATATATAAATTTTTAATAACCATAAACTTACACAAAAAACATATTATGTATTGCACCTAAACCAAATTTTACTTCCTTGTTTTAAATAATAATAAGTAATTTATAAATTCTCCAATATGTTCAGGATATACTAATTTCATTATTAAGTAGACCAACACTAATTTCATTATTAAGTAGACGGAATTGGATATGCTTGAGAAAATTGTTTTTTAATGTACATTTGAATTGTTTTCTAAATATCTTTGTTACCACAGATATGCTAGCGAAAAAATGGGGCTATTTTGCAAGCAAAACGAAAACTTTACCTACTATATTTGGATGTTTGTCTTTAACTTCATTTGAAATAGTTTTTGTCAATTTGTAGTTCTGTAAGGCATTCCGAATGAATTTCAAACAGCCACATAATTTTCGTCCTTGAGCTTTTCATAGTATTTCACAAACGCCATCATATTATAACCATTATTCAAAAAAGATTTAACCAACAGCCATTGTATTTCTATAAACCACAAGAGAGGGAGAAAATCAGAAGAAAAATAATATACTAATTCCGATTACCCACCCTGTCTGGGGTGGATAAACGAAGATGCTTTTCCTAGTATCCACCCTAGCGTGGATTTCTTAGGGTGGATATACGGAATAACCCGTTAGTCTCCAGCACAGACGCAGAGTAACCAGCCTTTCGGTAAACTATAAAACGCATTTCGGACAGTGTGTGCAGGAGTTATACGCCATAATTCCTCCCACCCCTTTCCACATTGGACAACCAGTCGGCAGTCTACTGGTCTTCACCCTTTTGTTATCGATATTCCACGCATTTGGACTAAACAGTTTGCTTCGATCTTCGTAATGCGTACAGCGAATGAGTGGAATAATGTACCGGCATCTGTATAACCCCTCGATTACAAACTGGATGTCTTTAAGGTAAGAGTGAACAGGCTTTTGTTGCGCTAAGACAGTGTACGCCGTCACGTGGGATTGTAATCAAGCACTGGCTTAGAATGAGTAAAAACTAATACCGTACATTTTCTGAATCCGGGCCGCTATTGAGTTTCTTTACAGAAAAACTTAATTATTGAATTTATCCTGACCTGATGGAGAGGATCAGAGGCAGTCAACCTGGTCCTGGGTAGAATCAGCGTAAACCCACCGGAATAATTTTTTAGACAAATTTTTACAGTAATTTAGTATAAATATTTATGTGAATTATAAACATAACGAGCATAGAAGTGACTCCTCCTCCTAGTCAGAATGGTACTCGCTTCGCTCGCGTACTATCTGGGGGCATGGCAGTGTCCCCGCCAAGTCGAGCGGCAAGCGGCACGACCGTAACATACTTTTCTCAAAGCAATTCAGGCCATTTTCGACCCCCATAACTTCGCTGTAGATAGAACTAGAAACCTGAATTTTCAGAAACCAAGCAGGCGCATTGTATAGACACAGTATATTTCAAATTTTGTTCAATTTGAACCAGTAGTTTAGGAATTATAATTAGTCAAAGTTTCTGGATTTTGTCACTCACTGACTGACCGATCATCAAAACTCCACTCTTCTAGCAGACATAGAAGCTAAAAACTTAGAACACAATTAGTGTTTAAGAGTATAAATCAAGGGAAAACTAAAATATTTTTCAATTTCGTTCCAGTTTTCTAGATACACCAACTGCATAAATAACATTGTAATCCCGTATAAATATACAGGATTACAAAGTAACATTTGCAGTGAATGAATTAGTGTACCTGTATCTGTATCGATCTGTAGTTCTTTAAGAGAGCTTTGTCACCTTTCTTAAAGAACAAGACCACCGCACTTCTGCTCCACGCTTCAGGAGTAGTACCATCATGGAGGACAGAATTAAAGAGCCTCTGAAGGACTTCAAGTATCGGTTTTCCAACCGCTTTCAGAAGCTACGCTGTAATTCCATCCTCGCCTGGGGCCCTGCCGTTTTTAAAGTGCTGGAGAGCCATTCTAATCTCGCTCAGACTGACTTCCGGGATGTCATCGGAATACGACGTTGCCACACTTGGTCTTCAGCTTCGACAGTTGGCTATTTCTGACACACAGATCCATGGCAAAGACTTTGAAGCCTTGATTCCGTTCGATTGTTTCTTCAATACGAGCTGTACTGAAGTTGGGTAAGTCCCGCCGCACGTATTTGGAGATGTCTGTTCAGTTGCCTGTATGCTGCCAAATCCGCTGAAGACTGCAGCTTCATTTCCCGTCTAACAGCCATGAGATTAAGAGTGTGATCGGAGAGTTTTTGTGTTCTTCTGCGGCGAGTCTTGCAGAACTTAGCTGCGACCGCATGGACAGTTTCCACGAGCTTGTCATTCATATGCTCTACTGCATTGCAATGTTCTAGGCACTGAAAACGATTTTGTATCTCGAGCTGAAAGGTTTCGGGATTCTGCAGGAGGGGAAAGGAGCGTTGACTTCACTAGACGAGACCTCTCTTATATGTTGCCAGGTCGTCGTCGTAGGTGGCAGCCGAACCTCCACCGGAGATTCTTAGCACCCCCTGCCCCGCCGTTACAATGGTCGCCACCGTAGCCAGGAATAGCAGAGCCGCCGGGGACTGGTGGCCGTTTGTTTGTGTCGTGTGTCCTCATGGGGGAGGGGGGATATTTGCCATAGTTGCCACGCTTGGCGAGCGGGTTGGCAACCGCAGTTTTTTTATTGTATAGTTGTTGATATCAGGAAGATGCTGCTGCTTATCTCCTGCCTGTCTCCCTCTGTCGCCTCTTACGACATCCACGGGAAGGTATTGGATATTCTCAGCCGCCACTACATGGAGGTAAATATAGAAAACCCAAAAATTTGAGTAATTTTCGAGAGTTTCAATGTGGTTCTAACGCAGCAGAGCTATAAGGAGACAGCTCACAATATCCAACCTTTTGGTGCCATTCCCTCTCAAAAAAATGTTCAGATCCCCAAAGGTAATAAATAATCTTCCCTTGAGATGGCAAAAAATTATAATGTGATTAAACAAATATTTTTAGCCTTAAAAGAAAAGGTGTTTGGATTATTCAATACAAAACGACAATTTCATATAGTTACCTCTAATATAAATTCTAAGACTGTATCAATAAAACAATTTCATGTTTTGAAATCTTTTTATTTGGAAATAAATCTATGAAAGTCAATAATGAGATTTCGCTCCACTATTATACACTCGCACGCTGTCTAACAACTTAAAATAAATACACACAAATACATATAAAAGTAAAAAAAAAATCAGTTATTGGTAAAATTTGGACGGAAACTAATGGTATATTAAGTAACGCGCTTACCACTTATATATCATAATACGAGATTCATTCATACGATTTCATTTATTAAAATTCTCCGGCTAATATAAATAGAAAATTTATGGACGGTAAATTTTCGTATATTGTACTTTCGAGAGCCCAAAAACAAGTTGAATTTTACATTGTGATAATAATAAAAAAAACCTCCTACTATAATACTCTCAAAGATCTACATATTACAAAACGTTTGCTTATCGATTAAATATTTGATATCTAACATTTTTTTGTATAGAACTTCATTTCAAATATTGTCCGCTATTAATAAGGCATTCAGTTTATCATGTTTTAATGTATTGCTTGAAGATGTATTTACATAAAAAATATTTCTGCATTTTAAGGCCATTCTACATTCTCGATAAAACTAAATGAAATTAAACAGTAATTTAGTAACAATTCTAAATTTTCAATTTAATAAACTCCGATTGAATATCCCTTATTCAGTAAATAAAAATGTGAAATTTCAATTGCATAAGTTTTCGTATTGAACTTTCGTATTTTAAAACTATTTTAAGAGCCAAGAGTGTGGAGCGGCCTTAAGGTATGCAGCTCTTTTACCTTATCAATAGTATTTAAAATTATTTACATTTATATTTTGCTTTGCCAGTTCATTTTTTCAATACAGGCAAGCACGCATTCTAAGCTACAGCTAAAGATATTATCTCTATCTTAAACTGAAGTAAAACACCTGTTAAACTTTGATATGTTACATAATTGTCTAATATACGTAATGTATACAATACAAAATGAAATGCAAAAGCACCAAAGAAAAATATATATTCATATGTGAAATTAGTTTTAACACATTTAATATTTGTTATAGAGTTACATCCTTTTTGAAATTATAAGATAGGAGATATAGTTTTGCCTCACAATACATAATATAAATTGTATACAAAAAATAATTTGTACTGTCTGAGAAATATAAAGTTTAAAGACTACCCGAACACTTCTTTTCTTAATCTACTAATGTTATAAGGGAATGGTTCAAGGAATCTTTCTAAGATTTTTTTTAAATGCTACAAGCCTTCGTATAGATATGAAGTGGATAAAATAATTGAAAGTATTAATATATAAACAGTCTTAACATAAGTCTTGATTATAGAAAACTTATATAAAAAACCACATTTTTGTGGTATTTAATTGATTTTGCATCTTATATAAATATTCTTTGTTTCGCCATACTGGGTGGGATTCTATATTATTAATATTCATTAGAATAGGTAACGAGTCATTATTTATAAGTTAATAAAGTAAATATAGAGCAAACTATTATATGTAATCATGAAATATTTTGCAAATTGTGGATTGTTACAGGATAATTGAAAGTACAGTTAGAGCAAGTATGATGAAAACGAATTTGATATTATGTTTATTAACTAACATATAATTCTTAATTTCATGATCAAAAAGGCTTTGTTTCTTATTTCATCCATGTAATAACTATTTTTCAGCTTTAATATGGCCGTTCAGATTGTTTTCGTCCATAAAACGTATATGCCATAACTGGATATATTATAACATTTCAGTATTTTCTATTATTTGCTAAAATCGTTTCAAAATGCTTATAATTATAAATATTTTATTTAAAGTTCTGATTGAAGATATTGACGCAACGAAATTATTTTATCAGTGTCAATCTAAAATATCTTCAGTCAACAGAAGGTCAGTTATCAATGATTATACTTATTCAGGACAGTAATTGACATTATTTCAGTAAATAAAAATTAAGACATCATTTTAAACCAATCTTAGACACATTGAGTTGTGATAAGTGTGATAACTGATATGTCTAGTGACTTAATTTCCACTATACACTTCAAGTGTTTGTATAACACTTTAAATACATTTGTGTTTTATTAATATTTTAAATCCATAAGACTGTCACTATCATGTTAAAAATACAAACCCTTAATTTTTTAAATCAATAATGTGTTCATGTGAAATTATAACCATTATTATTTACAGTTTTGACAACCGATTAACATACTGTCTGTTCCTTTCTTTTGGCTTAGTGCAGTCATTCGGACTCAAATAGAGTTGTCATTTGTGTTTGAATACCGCTAGTTGAAGGTTCATACGGCTCAAGTAGGAAATGTGTAGCTCCATTTGTGTACAAATAGCTACGTTAAGATCTGAATGGCACCTCTAAGATCCGAATGGCTCCATTAGCATCCGAATAGCTCTACTTAGACCTAAATGGTTCCATTAGAATCCGAATGACTCCATCAGGATCTGAATTGCTCCACTAGAATCCGAACAACTTCACAAGGATCCGAATGACTCCATTTGGATCCTACTAAGATATCACTCATTCCCACTAAGATTCGAATGACCCTATTAGGGTCCGAATGGCTCTACTAAAATTAAAATGGTTCCACTGGGATCCAAATGGCTCCAGTAGGATCCAAATATTTTCACTTGGATCCGAATAGCTCCACAAGGATTTGAATGGCCCGGTTAGAATCCGAATGGCTTCACTGGGATCCAAATGGGTTTTAGTAAGATCCAAACGGCTACATTTAGAACTGAGTGGCACCATTAGGATTGGAATGGCTCCACTAGGACCAAATGGCTCAGCTGGGATCCGAGTGGAGCGGTCCACTCGGATCCCAGCTGAGCGCCTAGTGCGTTTGCCGGAGTGGTTGTGCGAAACGTGCGAGCAGCACGGCGGCGAGTGCGAGCAGGACGGCGCCGGCGGCGGGGCGCGCGGCCGCGTTGTAGATGGCGCAGTACGGGCACTGCGAGGAGCCGCACACCTCGCAGATGTTCAGCAGGTAAGTCGGCAGCGCGTCGAAGATCGTCTCGTTGAACCGCTCTAAACCAAACATACCTTTCATTTTTATTGAATAACGGTTGACTGTGTGCTGCTGGTGTAAGAATATGTACTATCCCATATGATCCCGCGTTGTAAAACACGACAGAAGAAAATAAACCAGGAGATGGGCAGCAGCGTCTTCCTAATAACGACTAAAAATAAAAGAAAACTGCGCTTACACCCCTCTACTAGGCAGTACGGGCGAGGCCTGTGTTCACAAGTGTGCAGTTATCACTTGTAACGGTAACAGTAATGGAATAAGGGTGACATACGAGCACACGCCACCTGATGGTAAGTGGATACTATGGCCCATAGACATCTACATCTATCATTAAATAAGAACAGAAATGCAGGTCACCCACGAGAACTGTCGTTTAAAGTAATAAATGTCTCTGATTCTCCAGACTCATCAAACGACACAGCACAGTATTAAATTGCTATTTTGTGCTAATGTTCTTTGAGAGCGTGATCCTTCACCGGTTGAACCGACCCTTTGTGACTCGAATATAACTACAGCGTAGTTTTACCACATAGACAATATATACATATAATAAAAAGTTATAAATGTTGAGAAAATTAATTATCCAAGTCCCGCATGCTAATTATTTTAATAATTAGTTCTGTAGTTAATTTTTAATCCTATACCTTTAAACGAGCAATTCTTGATATATATATATATATATATATATATATATATATATATATATATATATATATATATATATATATATAATCGGAATCTCGGAAACGGCTCCAACGATTTTCATAAAATTTTGTGTGCAGGCAGTTTCGGGGGCAATAAATCGATCTAGCTAGGATTTATTTTTAGAAAATGTCTTTTTCTCCGTGTTTTTAGGCAATCAAAAACTGCTACAATATCGTAAGAATAAGAAGGTAAATTTTGACAGTTATAATAAATAACAAATAGTTTAATTGCTATATTGGGCGGTCACAAAATCGTAATACCATGGTTCGAGCCCAGACCGACCGATCGACTTATTTAAATTTTTTTTCAAGTTCCTTTCTTTTTTTGAGAAAATCTATTTTTTCGTGCCCTTTTTTAGTATTTTTTAAAAACACGAAAATTTAAATTAAACTAATTGCACAATGATTTTTTATTCAAATAACCAGTTCAGTTTTTTCTATTATGTCGCTAAGATCAAAAAATATTATTCGTATTTCATGTAATGTGTATCTAAATATAATTTCCAAAACACACGAATTAAAAAAAAAAACGAGCGAAAAATACCGAGCAAAGCTCGGTCAACCGGGTACTATTAATTATTTGATCAAAATAACATCCGATTTTATAAATTATCTTTATTTCAGAGAAATAAATAAAAAATTTATTTCAAAACAAAACTAAATTTGGAATACACTTTATTTATTAGTACAGTTATAGGTAAGACGAGTAAAAATTTATTTTTAAAGTGAAATATCTTTACTTTCAGTATTTTGGCGCAGAGAAAAAAAATATTTATGTTTTCCTCGTGTTTAGTGTTTTATTATTGAGACAAGTGTCAGTTTAGTGCCACAGTACATTGTTGTTCATCACGCTGGCCAGTACTTTGTTTAATTAGTTTGCAGTTAAAAAGCGTGTGTAATTGAGAAATAAATTTTCTCTTCAAACGCCCGTGGTGTCCATTTTTAATTAATCGTGCATTTCCTTACCTGGTGCATAGAAGTCGTAGACTCGTATTGGCAAGTACCGTGACATGTTCGCCACGGGGAACCACCGCTCGATCGTGAAGTTTACGCACGTGGGCTCCTTGTCCAGCTGATAGAAATAACAACGGATATTTAGTAACATAAGAAAAAAATAATGTACTTCTGAACCACGCTAATTAGATATCCTAGTTTAGATATCATATGTGGTAAAGCCTTGCTACAACTATATAATTGTAGCACACATAACATCATGTATATTTACACTCCATATACATCCGACGATCCATTATTGTATCACCACCTGTAAATCTTACCACGTGCTCGGCGGTAAAGGAAAACTTCGTAAAGAAATGTGCATGTCTAAGTAAGAAAACATTATTATAATAATGTTATACCACGGTATATTTCCTTGCCCTAAAACCCTTTCAGAAGTGAGTGAAGGCCTGTGCCCAGCAGTGGGACGTATATAGTTTGTAGCTTTTTTTATAAATCTTTGATTAGTATTACGCTATTTGGTGAGCCCATCCAAGAATTTAAATATAAAAGATGTTTTTTTTAAATATGATAAGGGTGACAAACGGGCACATAGTCTACTTGATGGTAAGTGGTTGCTGTGGCCCATAGACGTCCACATCTATCCTCAATTACGAATCAAAATGCTAAGGCGTTGACATCCGTGAGGACTAAGATGGAATGCTTCGTTTTCAGTCAAAATGGTCTTCGGTATACTCACCGTACGAAAAACAGCAGCATTAAGCTACTATTTGACGCTGCTATTCTGTGAGAGCGTCGTCCTTCCCCGGTCGAGTCGACCCATTCGTGCTACAAGTATATTACTAATATAACTGCAGCATAGTTCTACCATGTATGCACTGCATTTATTTTGCAACACGTATGCTCGTGAACTGAGTGTTACGATGATTTGGCTACTACCAAAGTCCTTATACCCCAAATTAAAAAAAAATTGTGTTCCTATACACTCACCAGCCTTTTGACTCATAGGCCGTTTCAATAGTTCACGGCTCTACTAGGTGCTATTTTTTCAAGCTATAATTATATTAGATTGCCCTGCTGCTTGATGCTACAGACGGGTAAAGGATAATTACTAATTTGTAGTGTGGCACATAGTCACATATACTCGTACATAGGCTGCACTAAAAGTATCGGGAATGAAATATTTCTACTGTTGCTGTCATATTAAAATCTTTTTAATTGAAAACTCCTTGGTTTTAAAAATGGAATACTATTTATTTATTTAAAAAAAATTCTCGGTCTTGTCACAAGGTTTTGTCAAACTTGTTTAGTCGTTGAGAAAATGGATATTGACTCGAGAAAATTCAAGAGTGTTGATTTATTATGACTTTCGAAGTGGTTTAACACAAAAACAGTGTGTTGACCGGATGATTTCTGCATTTGGTGATGAAGTCCCATCCAAAACCACAATTTATCGCTGGTTTGCTGAATTTCAACGTGGACGTGCCAAGCTCAGTGATGATCCCCGTCAAGGACGTCCAAAAACTGCAGTCACCCAAGAAAACGTTGATGCTGTGCGTAAGCTGATTGAGGAAGATCGACATGTGACATAACGCGAAATTCAGGCAACTTTAGACATTGGCATGAGTCAAATATAAATAATCTTGCATGAACAATTAGGTGTAAAAAAGTTGTTTCCCGATGGATACCGCATTCGCTCTGTGAAGAGCAAAAAGAGGCTCTCGTTACTTGGTGCGTCAGAACTCTCGAAAGACTCCACGCAGGATCCTCAAATGCTGTATACAACATCGTATCAGGTGACGAATCCTAGATATACGCGTACGCAACAAAAAACCAGTCACGAAATTGAGTGTTCGAAAATGAGTTAAAGCTCGGACTGTCGTCCGAGATCTGTGTAAGACAACATGTTTGTCTCCTTTCCCGTACCCAACACCATAAACAATAATATATCTACATTGACAATAAGCTCAACCAGACAATGGTGGCCTTAGTCCTCGGGCTAGACCTGCATTAGATTTTTAATTATGGATATACAGGTGTAGGTATGTCAGGTAGAGTATATTCGGTTGTCACCCGTACTTCTATTTAAAAAATTGCATGTTTTGCCCATAATAGATGTATTAGTGTTGCACCACGCTGGACAGACACGTTAGTGACCGATACCCAAGCAATGCTGCGAACAATTACCAATCTGTTGCATGTATTTCCTTAAACCCTATAGCAACCAGTTTTTATAGTACACCATACACGTTACAGTGTAACACCACCAAATTCCTGATTCCAGGTTGCTACTTAGAATTTTTTGGCAGAAAAACTCAATTACTGATTTTGACCCAACCTCGGGGCCTCAAGACATTAGCCACCTTTACGAGCACTAAAGCATAGAGGCAGTGAAAGTGAGGAGCACTCGTATACTAACGTAGTCGAAGTAGAAGAGCAGTTTGTCTGGCTGGAACTTGGCGCGCTGCAGCGTGGGCACGGTGCGCGACAGCACGTAGGCGTCGAGCCGCTGCTGCTGGATCATGTAGCCCGTGGGCACGCCCACCTCCAGCACCGCCATGCCCGACCGCTCCGACTCCGAAACCAGCGTCCAGCTGCGCGCATAAGTGTTACACCAACATAGAAACACACACTCGTTTATATCAAATTTAAATAAAATTGTTGTCATATTATAAAGAGTAGCCCAAAATTCGACTCAATTTTCAAATAGATTATGTTTCAATTAAAAAATATCATTGAAAAAGTATAGGATGTATATGATATGTAAAGGTGCATTGCATTATGTGTAGGATGTATAGTGTGTTCGGGTGTATACTACATTATGTATTGTGTGTAGAGTGTATACTGTATGTAGTGTGCGTAATGTGTGCAGCATGCCGGTTAGAGAACAGGAGAACGATCACTACGTACTAAAGCATAGTCCGCCTGTCCTTGAAAATTGTAGAATACATAGCGGCGCTGACGTCGGTAAGCAGTGACTGCGAAGTTAGCTGTTTATGAGTACAAGTAGATGAAGTTGAATAATGTAAAAATTTTTCTCCGCGGCATTGGTGAGAAAATTTTCATGCTCCATAGTTTTGTAATTTTTGACAAAAAGAAACATTAAAAAATTTATATATATATTTTATTGTGCGTGGATGTGCAAGTGTTTAGCAGCTGATCGGAAAAATAGACTGAAAATGACTTTTATTGACCGAACTTAGCGATCGCAGCGCCTCACTTATGGTGTCCATATTTTCTACAGCGATCGTTCTCCTGTTCTCTAACCTTCATGGTGTGCACTGAGTGTAGGATGTGTAATGTGAAAGGGGTATGTGCTGTATGTAGGTTGTAGTTTGCTATACCTAGGCTGTATGATGTATACAGAGTGTGTGCTATATGTAAGGCGTGTGCTATGGGTAGAGGGTATACTGCGTTTAATGTGCGTGCAGTGTATATGAATGTGTACAGCGTATGCTGTGTGTACGGTAGGGTACGTGCTGTGTGCAATGTGTATGTGTGTGGTACTCGCCTGGCGCAGCTGCGATAGTCGACGTGCGACTGATTCCGCCCGTAGAAGCTAGCCTGCGTGCGCAGCTCAAAGGCGCGCAGTGGGGGCGGCGTCTGGAAACGCGGCACGTCCACGTTGTACTGCACCGACAGCTGCAGCAGCGCGTACCCCGCGCCTCGAGCAGTCACCTTCACTGTGCCCCCCGCCTCCGGAATCTGTAAGGTGCAGCCAAACACTTTTATGTATACTATTGAACGGATTATGGTATCTTAAAACATTATGCAATAAGTAACGGTAAATTTTCCGTAACTTTAGTAGACTGTGACTGAATAGGTTGTCGTTGCGCAACGTGAGCGTGCGCGTGTGCCCCGCAGCGCCACTGTGTATACCAGCATACGCAGTGTACCGGAGTGCAGTGAGTGCAGTGGAGTGCAACGCTCACCTCTATGCTGTGCATGAGCGCCAGGTTGTCGTTGCGCAACGTGAGCGTGCGCGTGTGCCCCGCAGCGCCACTGTGTATACCAGCACACGCAGTGTACTGGAGTGCAGTGAGTGCAGTGGAGTGCAACGCTCACCTCCATGCTGTGCATGAGCGCCAGGTTGTCGTTGCGCAACGTGAGCGTGCGCGTGTGCCCCGCAGCGCCACTGTGTATACCAGCAGACGCAGTGTACGGGAGTGCAGTAAGTGCAGTGGAGTGCAACGCTCACCTCTATGCTGTGCATGAGCGCCAGGTTGTCGTTGCGCAACGTGAGCGTGCGCGTGTGCCCCGCAGCGCCACTGTGTATACCAGCACACGCAGTGTACTGGAGTGCAGTGAGTGCAGTGGAGTGCAACCCTCACCTCTATGCTGTGCATGAGCGCCAGGTTGTCGTTGCGCAACGTTAGCGTGCGCGTGTGCCCCGCAGCGCCTTTGTGTATACCAGCACACGCAGTGTACTGGAGTGCAGTGGAGTGCAACGCTCACCTCTATGCTGTGCATGAGCGCCAGATTGTCGTTGCGCAACGTGAGCTTTCGCGTGTGCCCCGCAGCGCCACGGTGTATACCAGCACACGCAGTGTACTGGAGTGCAGTGAGTGCAGTGGAGTGCAACGCTCACCTCCATGCTGTGCATGAGCGCCAGGTTGTCGTTGCGCAACGTGAGCGTGCGCGTGTGCCCCGCAGCGCCACTGTGTATACCAGCACACGCAGTGTACTGGAGTGCAGTGAGTGCAGTGGAGTGCAACGCTCACCTCGATGCTGTGCATGAGCGCCAGGATGTCGTAGCGCAACGTGAGCGTGCGCGTGTGCCCCGCAGCGCCACTGTGTATACCAGCACACGCAGTGTACTGGAGTGCAGTGAGTGCAGTGGAGTGCAACGCTCACCTCTATGCTGTGCATGAGCGCCCGGTTTGTCGTTGCGCAACGTGAGCGTGCGCGTGTGCCCCGCAGCGCCACTGTGTATACCAGCACACGCAGTGTGGAGGAGTGCAGTGAGTGCAGTGGAGTGCAACGCTCACCTCTATGCTGTGCATGAGCGCCAGGTTGTCGTAGCGCAACATGAGCGTGCGCGTGTGCCCCGCAGCGCCACTGTGTATACCAGCACACGCAGTGTACTGGAGTGCAGTGAGTGCAGTGGAGTGCAACGTTCACCTCTATGCTGTGCATGAGCGCCAGGTTGTCGTTGCGCAACGTGAGCGTGCGCGTGTGCCCCGCAGCGCCTTTGTGTATACCAGCACACGCAGTGTACTGGAGTGCAGTGAGTGCAGTGGAGTGCAACGTTCACCTCTATGCTGTGCATGAGCGCCAGGTTGTCGTTGCGCAACGTGAGCGTGCGCGTGTGCCCCGCAGCGCCTTTGTGTATACCAGCACACGCAGTGTACTGGAGTGCAGTGAGTGCAGTGGAGTGCAACGCTCACCTCTATGCTGTGCATGAGCGCCAGGTTGTCGTTGCGCAACGTGAGCGTGCGCGTGTGCCCCGCAGCGCCTTTGTGTATACCAGCACACGCAGTGTACTGGAGTGCAGTGAGTGCAGTTGAGTGCAACGCTCACCTCTATGCTGTGCATGAGCGCCAGGTTGTCGTTGCGCAACGTGAGCGTGCGCGTGTGCCCCGCAGCGCCTTTGTGTATACCAGCATACGCAGTGTACTGGAGTGCAGTGAGTGCAGTGGAGTGCAACGCTCACCTCTATGCTGTGCATGAGCGCCAGGTTGTCGTTGCGCAACGTGAGCGTGCGCGTGTGCCCCGCAGCGCCACTGTGTATACCAGCACACGCAGTGTACCGGAGTGCAGTGAGTGCAGTGGAGTGCAACGCTCACCTCTATGCTGTGCATGAGCGCCAGGTTGTCGTTGCGCAACGTGAGCGTGCGCGTGTGCCCCGCAGCGCCACTGTGTATACCAGCACACGCAGTGTACTGGAGTGCAGTGAGTGCAATGGAGTGCAACGCTCACTTCTATGCTATGCATGAGCGCCAGGTTGTCGTTGCGCAACGTGAGCGTGCGCGTGTGCCCCGCAGCGCCACTGTGTATACCAGCACACGCAGTGTACTGGAGTGCAGTGAGTGCAGTGGAGTGCAACGCTCACCTCTATGCTGTGCATGAGCGCCAGGTTGTCGTTGCGCAACGTGAGCGTGCGCGTGTGCCCCGCAGCGCCTTTGTGTATACCAGCACACGCAGTGTACTGGAGTGCAGTGGGTGCAGTGGAGTGCAACGCTCACCTCTATGCTGTGCATGAGCGCTAGGTTGTCGTTGCGCAACGTGAGCGTGCGCGTGTGCCCCGCAGCGCCACTGTGTATACCAGCACACGCAGTGTACTGGAGTGCAGTGAGTGCAGTGGAGTGCAACGCTCACCTCTATGCTGTGCATGAGCGCCAGATTGTCGTTGCGCAACGTGAGCGTGCGCGTGTGCCCCGCAGCGCCACTGTGTATACCAGCATACGCAGTGTACCGGAGTGCAGTGGAGTGCAACGCTCACCTCTATGCTGTGCATGAGCGCCAGGTTGTCGTTGCGCAACGTGAGCGTGCGCGTGTGCCCCGCAGCGCCTTTGTGTATACCAGCATACGCAGTGTACCGGAGTGCAGTGAGTGCAGTGGAGTGCAACGCTCACCTCTATGCCGTGCATGAGCGCCAGGTTGTCGTTGCGCAACGTGAGCGTGCGCGTGTGCCCCGCAGCGCCACTGTGTATACCAGCATACGCAGTGTACTGGAGTGCAGTGGAGTGCAACGCTCACCTCTATGCTGTGCATGAGCGCCAGGTTGTCGTTGCGCAACGTGAGCGTGCGCGTGTGCCCCGCAGCGCCACTGTGTATACCAGCACACGCAGTGTACTGGAGTGCAGTGAGTGCAGTGGAGTGCAACGCTCACCTCTATGCTGTGCATGAGCGCCAGGTTGTCGTTGCGCAACGTGAGCGTGCGCGTGTGCCCCGCAGCGCCACTGTGTATACCAGCACACGCAGTGTACTGGAGTGCAGTGAGTGCAGTGGAGTGCAACGCTCACCTCTATGCTGTGCATGAGCGCCAGGTTGTCGTTGCGCAACGTGAGCGTGCGCGTGTGCCCCGCAGCGCCACTGTGTATACCAGCATACGCAGTGTACTGGAGTGCAGTGAGTGCAGTGGAGTGCAACGCTCACCTCTATGCTGTGCATGAGCACCAGGTTGTCGTTGCGCAACGTGAGCGTGCGCGTGTGCCCCGCAGCGCCTTTGTGTATACCAGCACACGCAGTGTACTGGAGTACAATGAGTGCAGTGGAGTGCAACGCTCACCTCTATGCTGTGCATGAGCGCCAGGTTGTCGTTGCGCAACATGAGCGTGCGCGTGTGCCCCGGAGCGCCACTGTGTATACCAGCATACGCAGTGTACTGGAGTGCAGTGAGTGCAGTGGAGTGCAACGCTCACCTCTATGCTGTGCATGAGCGCCAGGTTGTCGTTGCGCAACGTGAGCGTGCGCGTGTGCCCCGCAGCGCCTTTGTGTATACCAGCACACGCAGTGTACTGGAGTGCAGTGAGTGCAGTGGAGTGCAACGCTCACCTCTATGCTGTGCATGAGCGCCAGGTTGTCGTTGCGCAACGTGAGCGTGCGCGTTTGCCCCCGCAGCGCCACGGCATCCACGCCCACGGTGAGCGCGCTCACGTCGCGCAGACGTTTGCGGTTCGTGTATTCGATGAGGGCGCGCAGAGCGATGTAAGTGTCCTGTCCGACAAACAAAAATCATATAACTTAATTAATAATGAGTAAAATCACGTGTGGTGTCGACGTAAGAGAGTATAGCATCACCCCATTCAGCTTCACATAGTTTACTTTCTATATGTTTTGTTTGTAGAAAATTTGTAAAGTAGCAAACTTAATTCCAAGTTTTAAATTATATTCGTTAGTGTTTAGAGCCTTGCCTTCGAACGTTTGTATTAGTCAGTGTTTAAAACATTTGTTCCGATATCATTTAAATATAATATTCTAATCTGCTTTTGAAACATCTGTAAAAAATAGTGTGTAGTACAGGTGAACGGAATAGAAGCCTATGGCATTGATATTTTTTATTTTTATTTTACTTTAGCTTGGCCCTAGCTTTATTTTAACTTTAGCTTTAGCTTTCTAGAAAATTCCATACTAGAACTTTCCCACAAGAGCCATCAAGTATCGAGTAGCAGTACTAGGAGAGCTTTCTAGAAATTCCATGCTAGATTTTTTCGACATTTTACTCGAACATTCTAGATATTTCAGTAGAAAAGTTTATATATGAGACCATTATTGACCGCGACCCGAGGCAGTACTGAATTGACAATTCAAGCGAATACTTCGAAGTGATATAACTGCAAACTAAAGTAATCATTGTGATTAATTATTAGTGTGTTTTAAGTCGTAATTGGTGTTTGGTAATTAAAGTGTCAATTTTAGCAATTTAATCGGCAGTTTTTATTGTCACGAACCCTAAGCTCGTAATAATATTATAAAATAATACACAACCTATTTTTTCCAGACAAAAATCATTCAGTATATATACACTTTTAATATAATTATAGACGATGTCAAAAAACTAAAAAATATAACATAAGTTCCACATAATAGGTTCAGAAGTCAGTGCTAAGACATTGGATTCAATCAATTTTATTTATTGTATTTAGCATTTGTCGACCATAATATCCACTAGTATTAATTATTGTCAAGTTACGAAAACACTCAAATTGTTTAGTCCTTCGAGCCGAAGCTGTTTGAGGATAGTCCTTCCCGGGTCGAAACTGTAGTGTGGCTCACGGTAGCCACTAACGGAATATCTTTTATAAATTTAAGTCAGCAATAAACAGGTCTTTGAACATAAAGGTTGTCTCATTTTATAATCTTATTACATGGCGACCCTGCCATGTAATCAACTTATAACAAATATACCACTTAAGAAATCGTTATTTAAATTTTATGACACATTACCGGATTGAGGAAATTAATTGAAAAAGTCGTATAGATCTATCAAAAGGTTTTGTAATACGTTGTAAATAAATATTTAGAAAATAAAGTAAAAAAAAACATAAGAAATGTAAAATCATAAGGCAAAGATTACAAGAGATTACTTTTATTTTACTCTGGATAAGAAGAATATTGGTTGCGAAGATCTAAATTGAAGTACGCAATGGACTCATAAGAACCGGGGAGCGAAATAAATAAGAAGATATTTATCAAAACGTAAAATAAAATTATCGAGAATTTAATCGCGTGGGCATTTTTAGGAAGACTGAATTTTTGTGTATTTTATCCACAAGAAAACACTTAAGTTATTTCCAAGGAAAACAAAAAAAAATTGCTTTAAATTTTTCCCGAATTATATTCCTTGGTATCCTATCATAATTTAAATTAAAGCTCATTAACATAACGTACACAAATCCCAAAAAAAAAATCACTTTCGATATTTCCGAATTAGTATTAGTGTTAATTTTATGTATTATTTAAGAATTCAGTGAAATGTAATATTATTTTACACATTGCACATCAAATTCTAAACATTGTTAATATGATCTTATGACATCTGGATGCATGCTATTATAAGGCAACGGGATTTAATAGCGAAATAAAACAAATAATTGATACGAAAAATCCAGTAAAATTAAAATACAAGTCAGATCCTAGTGATGCAAGTAAAGAGAAGTATAGATTGATAAGGAATCGTGTGTAGAAATGTACAACGACGCCATATTCATGAATCAGATCGTGACGACTGGAAATTTTTTAAGTCCTTAGAAGTTAGGAAGAAATGTTAAATCCTATCACACCATAATATTGACCTCAATCAGCTTAATCAGCACTTCTCTACGACTTGCATTGATTACCAAGTATATACATTTTATTTTGTCTCGTTCTAATGTCTATTGGTGATATATATAAAGAATAATATAACGTATAACGTTCCGAGGTGACAAAATAAAAAATAAACATATAAAGAAATCAATTTAATTTAATTTTTGACCATATTAATAAATTTTTATCTTCAGCCTTAAAGAACTTTGTATTTTTTTCTTGCTTGGCAGTTTTTAAAAAATCCTCCAATTCAGACTGATATTCAGCAGTGGCATAAGCAAATTGCCTCTTAAAAATAAGATTTCGTTCCATAGACGGATCCATTTGCATAAAGAAATCACAAAGCTTATTTGCCATTCTTAAACCTTCACTAAGACTTTTCAAATTAAATGTCACATTTCCGGTGCTTGTTGAAGCCGATGAACCGACCGATGTACCGATTAGATCCGCGAATAAAGAAATCTTTAGCCGCGAATATTGGAATTGGGTCGCATTTTTTTAATCCGCGAATAGTGCGAATAACGCGAATGAAGGAAGCGTGAATAACGAATTTTTACTGTATATATTACGCGAATTTATTTAGGTAAAAAGATAAATTATGTTCACACAAAAACTTTCATTACAATTTCATAATAAAACACTGTACTAAAACACTAGAAAAATCAAAAATCAACACAATAACATTCACACAAAAATGGTACACGAAATTAACGTAGATTATAAATAAATATCCATAAACTAACTGACTTTTTATTTCACTAGAGGATAGAAATTTATTATTGGTTCTGTAATGCCAAACTTCTTCATAGAAAAGTAGTCTCAAACATAAGTATTGATGGGTTAAAGTGCTGTGGGTGGGTGCGGTCACATTTGACCTCTTGAATTTTGACGGAATATCGAAGCGGTCGAATTTGGACGCTAGCCGTTTGAGAGGTTAAAGTATAAACTTTTTGCACAAAAGAGTAAAAGGAAAAAGATAAACTAAAAGGGGTTAAATTTAATTATACAAAGTAAACTATATGAAGCAATAAATGTGATGACACTAAGGTTGTGTTTAAATATGTTTGGACGGTATTGAGAGATCGTGTTTGGAAAAAACAGTAAAATATTAGCTTAACTATTTGTAATCGGCTAGAGCAACCGATGAATGATCGTGGTTATGTTAAAAATATTTTTTGGTTCTTTAAGAATGTTGGTTCATTTATAATGAAGATAATAAATAGTATAAAAAAAAATAGTAAAATACATTTGTAAGTACCGGTTATTCTCTTTATCGTAATGCGGGGGACGCCTTTATGTAAAATATAACTATCAAGTGGTAAAAATTTATAAAAGGCGTCAGAAATGCTCTGAAAATAATTAAGGTTTTGGTATGGATGCGAAAGCAGAAGATAGATCTCGGGAAAGAAAGGAATATAATAGTACGTATTTTGAATGTTATACATATAGGATGATGTCAGTGATGTATATGTAGGCGCGTCTATGGAATGTCGGTTGGACCGAGAGTAGGCGGGAGGTTGCGTCATTCTGGCGGAGAGTTGTCGAGGGTGGCAGGGCGGAATTGAGGATATATCGAGAAACTCCCCCACTCGTGTGTGCTCTTTGGCGCAGTGGCTTAGCAATGAGTGGCTGCGCTGGGGGCCGCGGGTTCGAATCCCGCACGGAACAAATATTTGTATGGCCTACAAGTGATTGTTCCGGGTCCGGATGTTTGTCCTTGTGCAATTTATGTTTGTAAACTGCCTCCACGATACAGGAGAAAATCCTAGTGCTAAATCCTTTTTAAAAGAATTAGAAGAAATTACCATAACTGCTTACTATATAATATGCTGTAAGTACCTGCGTGGAAGCCCAGCCGCCGTCCTTCAGCCTCTGTGCATTGAGCCACATGACAATGGGCTCGTTGTTGTCCTGGTGGTCCATGCAGGTGAGCAGCGCGTAGGCGGTGGCCGCGATGTTGTTGGAGTCGTACTTGTACGGCAGCCGCGGCAGCAGGAACGGCTTCTGGTTCTCCATCTTGAACGGCGGCTGCGGCACCGGCTCGATGCCCCAGTACACCAGTCCACCTGCGGATAAAAGATATTGTAACCGCTGTTGACGACAATTTCCTAGACCATTTTTACGCTGATTTTAATTTTACAGGAAACTAAAGTTCTCTCCTTTTTCTATAGAATAAGGGAGACAAACGAGCACACTGTCCATCTTATAGTAAGTTGTATATCCCGAGTATAGCCTTCTCCGTAGAGACGCTGAGCGACTTTGAGCGTCCTCATATGGCCAGCAGTGAAGGTCTCAGATCCATAAGTCATCACTGGCAACATACACTGGTTGTACAATCTAGTTTTCAGGTTTTGAGGTATACCTCAGCCGAGATGAATCCGTCGATTGTCCTCTCGGTGGAAGTTGGACTTACTTTAACTCTGATTTTTCATTCCGTAGAATACTAAAAAAGTTCTCCACCGAAAAAGGGACAAATTTGACCCATTTAAGGAAATAAAAATTAAAATGCTACGTATTTTTTATGTTTTACATACAAAAAGGTAAACCTAAATATTTACTTACTCAAGTGACCTAATACAAAAATAACAAATATTTCAATATCACGAACAATATATCGAATTACTTTAATTACTTTATTTTATTCTTTAGCTGGCAAATTCCAGGTTTAGTAAACCTTTTTAAAAAAAATGTTAGCTGTCACGTCGAGTCTGTCACATTGATTGATTTTCATTCGACTTCGTTGAATGCTCGAATGCGCTCATGTGTTCTCGGTGTTTGCTGCTATTTGTTGATATTATCTTGTTATATTAGTTAAGTTTCTGTTAAGTTTTTTCTTGTTGACTTTTCATGTTGAGATCGTTTGTTGATTTTTATAACATTATGGAGCCACAGCCCGGCCCTTCCCAGGAAGCAGCCCATCTGACAAAGCACAAGACTCAGACTTTCTTTCACCCAGAAAGAAGCGTCCTCGTGGTGCTTTTACGCACAACTAAATGTACCGCAAAGAACTGATTGGAGTGCAACGGGATACGCTAAAACTTCTGAGATGACTGGCGTGGGTCTGTCAAATGTCTATAAAATTATCAAAAAATATAAAGACACAAAAGAGTTGCAAAAGCCGAAAAAGTGTGGACCTCAACTATCTTTCGTACAAAGTGAGCGCGTAGGCGACCAGCACCAGCGAGTAAAGTGAGCCGTACTGCTGCAGCAGCTTCAGGTTCTTTACCTTCGGAACGCTGCTTCCGCTTGAGCAGTCGGAAGGCGTGCTCGGAGCTGGGCGCCTTGCTGAAGGTGAGCGCGTAGGCGACCAGCGCCAGCGAGTAGGGCGAGCCGTACTCCTGCAGTAGCTTCAGGTTCTTTTCCAGCCACAAGATCCCGTTGCGCTGTGCCTGCGCCACACGCGCGCTCAGACCCTGCCGAATGATAAATGACAAGCTCTTGTAATACAAACCCTTTAAGAAAAAAGCCTACTCTTTTTTAAAAGACCGACAACACTTCTGCAATAAGGGCTAATAGTTATACGCTCGCTAGATGTCGTTTTGCTAGGACTGAAGTGTATTTATTTTTACGCAGATAATCAGTGTCATCATCACTGAAAAGTAGCGATTTATCTATAAGTTTTTCAGTTTCTAGTGTACGTGGATGACCTCACTCACGTTATGTTGCATTTATTCATGGGCGGTAGTAGTCACTTACCGTCACGTGAGCTACATGCTCGTTTCATCATCATCATCATCATTACAGCCCTTTACAAGTCCACTGCCGAACATAGGCCTCCCCCAAGGTATGCCACAAAGCACGGTCCTGAGCCACCTGCATCCATCGACTTCCTGCATGTCTTACCAGGTCGTCACTCCATCTAGTGGGCGGTCGCCCTACACTTCGCCTACCGGTACGAGGCTGCCACTCGAGAACCTTATTTCCCCAATCATGCTCGCTCATGCTCGTTTGCTCCCTCTCATATAAAAAAAAACTGTAAAATGGGGTGAATAGATACAAGTCGCATAATTTGATCAATACATACATAACATACATAAACACTCACGCCTGTCACCCAGAGGGGTAGGCAGAGACTACAGACTTCCATTTGGCACGATCCTGACACACCTCTCTCGCCTCCTTCACATCCATACACCTCCGCATACATGCTCGTCGGTTAAGGGTACTCCTAATTTGGCCCGTTTTCAATAAATCGCCAATTTGGTCGATAAATTTTCGCCTAGGACGTCCCTTTCCGACTCTGCCATTCACTTCTGCAACATAAATTTTCTTTGTCACTCTTTCCTCATTCATTCTTTCCACATGACCAAACCACCGAAGCATTCCTTTCTTAATCCTGATCACAACATCATCTTGCAAACCACACTCTTCTCTTATTACACAATTTCTTACCCTGTCATTAAGATTCAGCCCTAACATACTCCTTAACGACCGCATTTCTACTGCGTTCATTCTACTCTCGTGCTTCTTCTGCCACACCCAACTTTCACTACCATATGTTAAAGTAGGGACCAACACAGCATTGTGAATTGCCATACGTGCCTTTTTCGACACATTTTGACTCTTCACAATAGAGTGCAGGGCCCCATTTACTCTATTTCCCGCATTCACTCGTCGTTCTATATCCTTATCATATCTCCCATCCCTGCTAAATACGCAGCCCAAATATACAAACTCATCTACTTGCTCGATCAACTCCCCTTCTATTCTTATTTCACAAATCGTTTTACTTTCTTCTCTTTCAAAAACCATAACCTTCGTCTTACTTGCGTTCACTTTCATACCCCTTTCTTTTAATGATCTGTTCATTAATGTAACCATCATTTGCAACTCGGCCGCCGACGACGCAAGTATAACTTGATCATCGGCGTACAAAAGGCATTTGACGGTTAACTCACCCATTCTTAATCCGCATTCTTCAACTTTCAAATTTTGCAAACAACTGTCCATAAATAGGTTGAACAGCCACGGGGAAGCTACACAGCCCTGTCTGACACCTTTATGGATGTCAAACCAGTCCGAGTAGACCCCGTTGATCCTAACACAAGCACTAGAGTCCCTATAAAGGGACTCCAATGCCCGTATCAAGCCAGCGCTCAACCCAAATGAGTTCAGTGTTTGCCATAGCACATCCCTATTCACTCTGTCATAGGCCTTTTCCAAGTCCATGAACGCACAAAAAACCTTTTGGTTTTTGGCCAAAAACTTCTCCGCGATCATGCGCATGGAAAAGACTTGATCTGTACATCCCATTCCCTTTCTAAATCCTGCTTGCACATCCCAAATTTTTCCATCAGTTTCTTTCATGACCCTTTCAATCAGTACCTTAGCATACAGTTTTCCCACAATGCTAAGAAGGCTGATGCCACGGTAGTTTTTACAGTCCTGCTGCAACCCTTTTCCCTTATATACTGGGACTATCACGGCTTTGCGCCAGTCTACCGGTACCCGCTTCAGTCCCCAGCATAAATTAAACAAGGTGTGCAGCAGGCCTGCCACCACTTCCTCTCCAGCCCTTAGCATTTCGAGTGAAACTCTATCATATCCGGCAGCCTTACCTGCTTTCATGCTTTTCATTGCTTTCATTATTTCACCTACACTAATCTCGCTACCTCTTTCCTCTTCTTTCGGAATTTCTACTTCACTTAGTACACACGTTGTCTCCTCACTCATAAACACACTTTCAAAATATTCCTTCCATCTCTTTAAACTCAAAACTTCATCATTCAGAATATAGCCATTCTCGTCTCTTATAGCATTCATCATAGGCTGTTTTGAATGTCCCCTGGCAGTTCTTACAAGTTTCCAGAACATTTTAATATTTGCCTGGAAATTATCCGATATTCTTCTATCATTCTTATCCATTCTTTCTTGCTTTTTTCTTTCAACTACTTCTTTTACTCTCTTATTAAGATGTCTAAAGACTGCCTTTTTTCTTTCAATATCATCATTCGTACCGCTAGAATTACCAGCCTTTGTTGCTAGTAAATCTAGCCATGCTCTCTTCTTTGCTTCAACTTCCATACGTACCTCATCATCCCACCATAACGTATTATTTTTCCTTTCATTCTTTCTCTTACTAACACCACATACTTCGGTAGCTGCATCCACTAAACCTTTCTTTACATTTTGCCATACATTCTCCAAGTCTAACTCCTTCATACATAATTCATCCAAACCACTTATATTTTCTTTCAGTCTACATTTGAACTTCTTTTTCTCACCTTCATCTTGTAACCTTTCTGTTCTAATACGCTGTAACGCAGTGGTAGACACAGATGACCGATGGCGCCAACGCCTGAATAGACCATTAATTCGGCATAGAACCAAATAATGATCCGTTCCTACGTTAGAACCCCGGTAAACCCTTGTATCTACAACTGCGCCCCTCAATCTTTCATCCACAATTATTAAATCTATCATGCTTCTATCGTCACCTCTTTCCCAAGTATACATGTGAATCCTCTTGTGGCGAAAGCAAGTGTTCGTCACAAAAAGATTCTTTTCCATACATACGGTGAGGAGACTTTCACCATTCTCATTTATACTTTCATCACCAAACGTTCCCAATATCCTTTCATAACCAAGCCTCCTCACCCCAACCCTTCCATTAAAATCTCCTAGCATAATAATATTTTCATTTCCCTTACACTCCATTAACACCATCCTTACCATTTCCCAAAACTGCTCTCGGATATAAGTGGGCTTAGACATGTCTGGGGCGTAGACCCCTAACACAAACAACTTCTTTAAGCCCACTTTCATTCGTATCCACAGCAGTCTTGGGCTTACACATTCATACTCTTTCACACATTGGCCCATTCTTTCTGAAAGGATGATACCTACTCCCTGGCATGCCCGCTCGATCTCGTCTACACCAGACCAGTATGCGGTATACATGCCATGTGTAGTGACATCCTTTCCCTTCCTTTTCGTCTCATTTACACATAACACATCTATTCCTCTATCATTCATCATATCGCATACTTCATCCATTTTATCATTCATTGCCCCACATACATTCAACGTAGCCAGACGGACCTCTGCAATCCACTTTTCGCCTCTCCGGGAGACAGAACGTGACGGGTGGCGAACCTCGTCGCCGGTTTTCCTCCCGGAGATTCTTCGCACCCCTGCCCCATTAAAGGGGCGCCGGGAACTCGGGGCCATTTCTATTATATTGTTCCTCATGGTGCGGATAAAGGGTGGTATATTTTACGCCTCTACCAGGGCGTGGAGCCGAGTCTGTGCTATCGGCTTGTCGCTCATTTAGCACCACCCGGGGGACACGTGTAGGGTGGGCCTAGGAATAGGTGGTCAGAGCCTACGGACGCGAGCGACTTATCCCCCTAACTAATTTGATCAAGTGTATTAGAATTGTCTACAGCTCGGGAACGTGTGTTTATTTCTATTGTTTGTTACATAACAACATTTTTCCTTTATTCTAGAAACCTTAAATTAGAGAAAAAGGCCATCAAATTGAACTTGTGAGTATAAGTGGTTTAAGGCTAAAACTTTTAGTGAAATATCAAATTATTCAGTGTTTCCTTGTTGCAAATTTGTTTAATTAGAGGGTTGTCTTTGTGATCTATTAGTAATCGGTAAAGATGAGTATTGATATGCAGTGGCGAAGCATCCATAGAAGCCGAGAAGCCGGGTTTGCCCTTTCAAACTACGATTGTTTATATAGCAATTAGTAATGTATAATGGAAATAATGTAATTATATAATTTATAATGGAACTGTGTGTGTGTGTGTGTGTGTGTGTGTGCGTGCGCGTGTGCGTGTGCGTGTGTGTGTGTGCGTGCGTGCGTGCGTGCGTGCGTGCGTGCGGTGTGTGTGTGTGTGTGTGTGTGTGTGTGTGTGTGTGTGTGTGTGTGTGTGTGTGTGTGTGTGTGTATTTTATACGACGGCGATCGATACGTCGATTTTTAGTGAAACTGAAGGATAATAAGTGTTCCTTGTGATGAATTGAAGTGTGTTAAAGTGCTAATCGGCGAGTAAGAGGTAAAATCTTTAAACTTTGTTGAGAAAAAACAGCTCATATCCTCGCTTAATTATCGCAATTGAAAAACAGTTATTATTTCAATTAAAACATTCACCAACATTTAACGCGGACGTAATCAAATCATTCCTTAAGAAAGAGAGACGATTCGATTTAGAATATAAATGTGTTTTTTTTAATTTTGTACATAGTTTGTTTGTACTTTGTTCATGCTTTTCTTTTGTTCATGTATCGTATTGTATGTAAATATAAATGTAAATATCTTTTTCTTTCGCTCAAGCAAACCCAAACGGATTTTTCCAAAGCCATCGAAGGTGTGCAATTGCTGATGTCATACAATCTATCTTATCTAGCAGTAGTATGCCTTCTGTGTGCTTTGTTAAACACGTCCTTGACAGCACTGAATATGAAACTGAAGATTGGAGACAGATCAAGATTGGTGTATTTTTATAAAACTGTTAAAAAGAACAAAACCATATCTTGTTCTTGCCCTAGTTTGGAGCCATTGTTGATAACAACGATTTTATCGATATTCCATATCTAAGTCTTTGGAACAAAGATAATGGAAGTTAAACAACAGACTTTTTCAATTAATTTAAAGTATATAGTATGTGTGATGTAAGTAGCAAATACGATATTTACCTCTCTAAATCCGATGTCCTTCAGACTCTTGACAGATTCCAAGGTGACGACGACCTGGGCCGTAAGTGTGACGTTACGTTGCAGTATAATGGTGTCGTTCACCTGCCAAAGTGTAAGCATATATTATGATTACCTAAAATATATGTTTACTAAAAGATTAAATAATTCCAGTGACAAAATAACTGACAGTCCACCTGATTTAATATATGTGCCTTCGCGCCACAAGCAAAATGCACCGAAGCCTAATTGTGCTATCGAAGTTCCGAAGTACAGCGGTATATATAGAATAGCTCCTAACTATCATATGCAGCATTGACCGCTTCCCGGGCAGAGCAGAACACCTTACCCGGCGGGAGATCTTCCCTATCCCTTCTACGTTCACAACTAACCAACTCTTAATCATTTAGATATAATGTGATTATATTATTAGGTTTATATATTAAACGAGTTGTATTTCACCTTCAACTGCATATTAATATGTAAAACAGATATCTTATATACAAAATATTACACACACACACACGCGCGCACACGCACACACACACACACACACACGCGCGCACGCGTAGGCGCACACGCACACACACACACACACACACACACACACACACACACACACACACAAAAAATAATAACAGCTTATCCAGTCAATTAGTCAGTATTTATTTATTGGGAATATTTTAAAAATTCTTAGGCGATATAACTATAATAGGTGCGATTATTTGACCATAGACTATTATTTATATTGTTTGACATCACTAAGATTCGAACCAAGAACCTCAGGTCTAGTTGTCAGATTCTCTGATTAAGACACGAAGTATAGCGGTATAAGACCGATTTACACTTCAACAAGTACAGTAGCAAGTTTAGCTACAGGGCATTGACAGTAAACGCTTAAGTGGGCAGTAGCGTTCAAACAATGTATTCGTAGCGAGTTTAGTTAAGGACATTAGTTCATAGAGTTCGTTTGAGTGTGACGTTTGAAGACTATAGGATTTTTCTTGTTATCGTTTAAGATGGAGGATTACGTCAAGTAGTCAGAGAAATATTACTGGTTGTTGTTAAAGAAGTTTTTAAGAATTTTTATGAGTGCAGCATCTCGCGCAGGTTTAATTTTATAATTTAAACTTCGACTATTATATAAACATTCGTGTTCTAAATACTTCTGTACGAATATGTGATATCTTCGGTCCATTTCATTATTAAATCTCAATATAAAACGTATAAATATTCAATAAACAGTACCGTACAAACTTTGTGGCGAGTTTAATTATAAAAGTACAATTATACGTTTTGGCGAGCAAACGTTGCGTCCTGTCAACTTATGCACTGAACTAAACTCGCTCGTTCACACGAGCGGCGAGTTTAGTTTCGAGTAGCGGGAGACTCGCGGGAGGGCATCACTTCGCACTTAACTCGCCGAAAAATAGCCCGGCGGGCTATCCCGTTCAACTTAATTGTTAACTTGCTACTTAACTCGCTTATTTCCGTTCAAACAAGATTTTCTACTTAACTTAACAAGTTACTCGGTTCGGTGTCGAAGTGTAAATCGGTCTATAAATGTAGTGTAAACGTAGCAGTAAAAAAGCAGTGTAAATGTATAGTAGGTCCTATAAAGCTTCCTTATGATACTCTTGCTTTAATTTTAAGTCCATGTTGACGCTAGTGATATGATGTAACTAACTGAACAGGCTCACAAACAGCCGTACCTCTACACCCAGGTGTCCAGCTGGTCCACGGAACAGTCCAGAATTTGCGGGTACGGAGATAGAAGAGTTGGCGTTGCGATCAGGTGACCACGTCACCTCGTAGAACGCACCTTCCGGGGTCTGATGCTCCAATATCCAGGACACCGCCATCGAGATTAGCTGTGGGATAGTTCATAGCATCAGGAACAGAATATAGATTAATTTTGATCGCTACCAAACTGTTTCTAATTTGTTTTATGTGTTCTGCTGAGTTTTGATTCTTCCCAGGATAGAGGTATTTTCCCAACCAGTAGTAAATCAAACATAAAAATTTCAATAAGTATTATTAATGGTGGTTAATATAGCGCATAGCGCTATATTATAGCGCGCTATCTCTCCATAACACATAGCGCGTGCTATGTAGCCACGGCGCTATGCCGCTATTCGCGCTTTGGTGCTATTAAGTATTAATATCTAGCGGCAACTAGTTCTAGCAGCAGCGCTGTTGGGAGGACGTGTGACGCAAATTGTATCTAGTAGCACGCTATTCATCACGCGCGACCTAATTTAGTGTTAGTTGTTGTTTAGTTAGTTTATACTGTATATTTATAAGTGATCGAAGGACAAAATTGTCTGCTATAAAAGAAGCCTAACTTTAATGTCTTTAAATGTAAATAAAATATGTAAATAGTTGATTTTTATAAATACAATCAATAAACTTTTAAATACACCTTTATTTGATTTATTGTTTATATTAAGATTAATATAACGTTTACATCAATTATAATAAAAAATAATTAATTTTATATCGTTTTAAAAAGTACATGCCTTAAAAATATTTTAGGATTATAGAAAGTCGTATGCCTGAAACGAAAAAGCCTACATTGGTTTTTCTTTAACGCTTTATTTTATTTTAGTCTAAAATGCGGCTTATCACGAAATAATGTTCTTATACAGTATGTAACAAAAACACTGTTGGTCGTTTCAGGGACGTATAGGTGTACACATAGGCATGGTAATTATGATAATGAATTTTTTTTTGGTTGCTTTAAATGGGGTTTTTAGGTTTCTAATGAGATAACTTAAGAAATATTAAATTTCTAAAAATGTTATTTTCTTCTGAACTTACCGACACGTGCCGCATTATATTATCTACGTCACAGAATAAATAATAGTCTACGGCCGATATGAGGTCACTGACATGGCCGACTCAAAACAAGCTGCTAAGCGGCGCGTGCTTCCCCAAGGTTTTTGTGTAAATCTTTATACCTATCTAGACTCAGTTATTCTCAGAAAATTTTAATTTCAAAATAATAGAAATTATAATGAAATGATTATTATTTCAACCCCAATACACATAGTAGTTTTTTATAGTATAAGGAGACAAACGAGCACACAGTCCACCTGATGGTAAGTGGTTGCTGTGGCCCATAGACATCTACATCTATCCTCGATTACAAATCAAAATTCAGATGCGTTGTCACCCGTGAGGACTAAGATGAAATGCCTCATTTCCAGTGAAAAGGTTCTCCGGATCTCTACACTCACCATACGAAATACAGCAGCATTAAGCAACCATTTCACGCTGGTATTCTGTGAGAGCGTGGTCCTTCCCCGGTCGAGCCGACCCATTCGTGCTACAATTATACATCTAGTATCATTTGAATAATTATGTTATAAATTTCTACTTTTTTGCTAAATAGATCTACGAAAATATTTAAAAAAGGTTATTTCATGCATAAAATATCGTGATTAATTCCAAATTTGCAACTATTTGTAGGAGAAATTTAGTATGTATTTTTCATATGAAATATAGTATAGATATTCGATAAAGAATTTATATAGTAGGTAGTAATTATTTTTTTAAATAAATTCATATTGTCGTTTATTGCTAGAATATAATAAACAAAACAAAATTAATAGGTAATATACGCGGCGTTTTGCGCGCTCTTTGAACTCAAAAGCGAAAGCCGACGAAGGACTTAGGTACTAGGAAAAACCCAAAAAACTCCACTCTTCGAGTGATAAAAAAGAAGCGTCCACTATATGCCGATTAACTAATTTTGATCCAATATCTATTATTTATTCTGTGCTAATATTTAGTAGTAATGTTTAAAATATGGGAAGTTTTATGAACATAAAATTTTGTCACAATTCAGTGATCAAGAATAAAAATAAAAATAAGGGTTGTTTATCGTCGGTCGATAAAACATATAAGCCGGTGCCGCAAATGTGTGGGAGGTGGACATATTGAACAACATCTTCGTGGTCGTCGTATCTATTATTTATTCTGTGCTAATATTTAGTAGTAATATTTAAAACATGAGAAGTTTTATTAACATAAAATTTTGTCACAATTCAGTGGTCAAGAATAGAAATATAAATAAGTATTGTTAATCGTCGGCCGATAAAAAATGCTAATTATTAGATTTTGAAAAACATAGCAGCATAATAGTTTAAGTATTTGTTATTGTGTGGATTTATAACACAATTTTTTTAAATGTTTCTTGTTATAAAAGTGTTTTAATGTATTTTTATTAATCCTAGCTTTAATTTAATTTCTTAATAACACTTATGGACGCTGTCTGAAATAAATAATAACTATTATTAAAAAATAACATAAAAAAATCACGAAATTTTTATCGATTTAGAAAATATCAAAATTATGTTATAGAGTACAATAGCTTTGCCACGTCTATGCAAACAAACAAACTTCAAGCACCAGTAGCGCGTTAGCACTGATATTGACGGTTGTGTTTTATATTGCGAAATTAATATTCCGCATTGAGTGACTTGTGTGCGATGTCTTACTCAAACGAAGAATATTTTAATATGTTGATGTGTCTCGGGAAATGTTACTGCAATTATGCAGAAGCACGAAGACTTTGCGGGGAGTTCTTTGCTACTCCACGAAATATACAATTTCCGTCGGCGATGACGTTCCAACAACTTCACATTCGTATGTACAATACTGGCAGTGTGCATGGCCGTGATCAACAACGTACAGATTCAGGAAGACCGAGGATGTACGACGATATCGAGGAGCACATTCTCGACATGTTTGAGGAAGATGCGACGCGGAGTACGCGCTCGGTGGCACGTGAACTAGGTGTGAACCATATGCGCGTTTGGAGAGCCCTCAAAGATGATGGCCAGCACCCGTATCATTATCGTAGAGTTCAGTGTCTTCTTCTCAACGACTACGAGCTGAGTGAGAATGGATTACTGTAGATGGTTACTTGATAAGGTTGAAGGAGATTCTGAGTTTTTGAACCGCGTACTTTTTACGGATGAATGCTCTTTTGTAAGAACAGGTGTATTTAATGCTCATAATGAACACGTATGGTCAACGACAAATCCGCATTCGTATAAACCAAGCCACTTTCAACACCGATGGAAAATTCAATGTATGGGTGGGAATTATAGGTGACAAAATTATTGGTCCGTATTTCCTAGACCACACAATGAGCTGTGAAAACTACGGACGTTTTTTGCGAGAAGAACTAAGCAATGAACTTGACGAAATAAATTTAGACCTCGTTCGTCGCATGTGGTTTCAACACGATGGTGCTCCACCGCATTTCTCCCGTTGTGTAAGAAGTTTTTTGAATGAGTTCGGTGAAAGATGGATTGGCCGCGGTGGACCGGTCAACTGGCCGGCACGATCACCTGATCTCACACCTTTAGATTTTTATCTCTGGGGTACGATTAAGCAGACTGTATTCCAAAAAGCATGCGATACCGAGGCAGAAATGCGTATGCGTATAGTCGCAGCCTTTGAAAAAATAAAGTCCGAAATGTCTGTTGCAACGCGTGCGTCCAGACATTACAAATCGGTGTCACAAATATACAGAGGTACAAGGTGGAAATGTGATGTGATAGTGATGTGTGATGTGATAGTGATAAATTAGTGTATATCAGCAATTAATTATATATATGTAATTAGACTATAACAGCTGTGATGTGACGAGGTCACGACCTCACTGTGCAGTTAGTGTAAGTAAGACGCGCGCGCGCGCCCCGTCTTTGATGTACGTCACCGCCGGCCGCCACCCGCCGCTGTCGATAATTCCAGGCAGAGGTAATCAATCCACATAAAATTTACAAATATTATTTAATTAAAATTTAATTTGATTATTTTTATGTCGAGTTTCCTGAAGTAAAGTTATTTCTATACGTTTAAATACTGAATCTGATAACGCACTTAACGGGAACCACAGGGTTTTTGTTACATATTGTATAGCACGCCGTCTATCAAATAAACGACATGTTATGTAACGTGCTATGAGATATAGCGTGCTGCAAAATTTAACGCGCTTGCCGGCCTCCTACACGCTTTCTTATAAATAGCGCCCTAGAAATTTATAGTTTGTCTGTAGCGTGCTATTGATTTATAGTCGTTTTGAACAACTTTAAGTATTATTTATAATCTACATTGAATAAAAAGTTTCTATACTATTCTATTTTAATTTATATTGAGTATTTACCATTTTCAATTACGGCATTTGAATTGAATGTTGAGCGCTTCGTAAAATAATACTTATGTTTATTTTATATTTTTATTATATATATGTTTGTTGATTATTCGTAAGTTTTTGACAAAGGAGTGCACAATCTATCTGGAAGTAAGCAAATGCTCTGCTTGACCCATAGTCTCTATATCTACTGCACCAGCTATAGAAACAACGTCCAGTGACATCAGTGATAGGACTTGATTGCAATTTGAAATGATTTAAACTGATTTATTACGTGCTGGGCAACGAATATCACATCGTGAGAAAACTGGCATATCCGAGGAATATAATATTTTAAGGATTTGTAAAGTCTCCTAACAAATACCATACCAGCACCTCGCACTAATCGCTCCATAACCCTCAAAAATAGAGGTAGCCTTTGCTCAACAGTGAAATGCATATATGCAGTAAGTTTATTGTTACCATGTTTTTATTAAGTCACTCTTTCTTGTTTTTTTGTCGTTCCGGGTGGTATTTAGTAATTGATTTTGAACTAACTTCTCTATGAGCTGAAAACTTGAAATTTTGAATATAACTCATATTCTGATGACAATGCAAGAGTATGATAAAAAAATGTGTTTTTTTTAAACTACTATTTGGAATAAAATAAAAAATCTTACCAGATTATTTACTTACAACAGCCTGTATCTACCTTACCTGTTAAGAATCTGGCCTCTGTATATTTGTATTAAGATAATTGATAGAATCAGGCGTTACTTTGCGGAAATCCATTATAATAAAAAATTAATTACTTCGCCACCTTCCGCTAACCAATTTGTATTAACTCAAAGGAAACCTATTAACTAATATTTTACTTTTACTAATTAATTTCTTACATCAGGGTCAATGTAGATATAATTCTCCCATTCGTTGAAGGATGCTTCTTGCAATATTTTGGCGCAAAATGATGTCAGCCACACACTCGAAGCCGATTGATTCCTATAAAAAATATATATAAACGTAATTACTGTTCCTAACACAGTCGATAATTCACTATTTAAATCGGATCTTACGAGTATAGTTGCCCATTACAAATCACCTAACACTGTCATAACGTGGTACTGGGACCGTGCTCTGACATATCCCTTGCGTGTCTCTATTATTTCTCGATTTAATAGTAGCTTAACTAACACTGCACTTACAGGTACAAGACTGCCAAACAAGCACTTTTCGGCCTCTACGATTTTTAATTACGAGTTACACGCAGCCGCGGTAGCTCAGGTGGTTAGCGCTCGCTGTAAATTTCACGCCACAGCATCCACCTACCATCAGGTGAACCGTGTTTTTTTTTTTTTTTTTTATAGAAGAGGGGGCAAACGAGCATGTGGCTCACCTGATGTTAAGTGACTACCGCCGCCCATGATCAACCGCAACACCAGGGGAATTGCAGGTGCGTTGCCGGCCCTTTAGAAAGGAGTAAGCTCTTTTCTTGAAGGTCCCCAGGGCGTATCGGTCCGGAAAAATCAGCGGTGGTAAATTATTCCACAGAGAGGTTGTACGTGGAAGAAAACTCCTTTTGAAACGTACAGTGGTGGACCGCCAAGCATCCAGATGGTGTGGATGGTATCGGGACGTTTGCCGTGTAGTGCGTTCACGAAATTTGGCGGCTGGGATTAATCCGAACAATTCCTCAGAGCACTCCCCGTGATAGATGCGATAAAATACGCAAAGAGATGCAACATCTCTTCGCAGCGCCAGTGAATCGAGCCGATCGGAAAGCACTCGGTCGTCGACGATTCGAGCCGCTCTGCGCTGGATGCGGTCAAGTGGAAGGAGCTGGTACTGGGGAGCCCCAGCCCAGAGATGGGAACAGTATTCCATGAGCGGCCGAACCTGCGCCTAGTAAAGTTGCAGGCGGTGTGCCGGCATGAAATACTGTCCCGCTCTGCTGAGCACGCCAAGCTTTTTAGAGGCCAATTTGGCCTTCCCTTCCAAGTGACCACGAAACTGCACGTCACTCGATATGTCGACGCCGAGGATTCCGATACTGGCTGAGGCAACAAGGGGAGTGCCTTGAAACTGAGGGGATACGACAAAGGGGTTCTTTTTAGCGGTTAACGCGCAAACTTGTGTCTTCTGGGGGTTAAATTGGACTAGATTTAGTCGCCCCCAATCCGAGACTCTGTCCAGCAGAGACTCGACTTCAGACACAAGTTTGTCCCGGCACTCAGAGACGTTTTCCCGAGAAATATTGGCTCGGCCAGTGTAAAGAGCATCACCAGTGCTGTCATCTGCATAGCAATGAATGCTACGGGTTTGCAACATATCATTGATATGCAGAAGAAACAGCGTTGGCGATAGCACGCAGCCCTGTGGAACACCAGCATTAATAAGCTTGCAATCGGAGCTTGCACCGTCTACAACGACCTTGATGCTCCGATCTGCAAGAAAACTGGTGATCCAATCGCACAATTTCTCGGGAAGCCCATAGGAAGAGAGCTTCGAAAGAAGCGCTTTGTGCCAAACCCGATCGAAGGCCTTCGCAATGTCCAAACTAACGGCCAATGCCTCCCCCTTGGACTCTACTGCCTCCGCCCATCTGTGAGTTAGGTAAACCAGAAGATCACCAGCTGACCTACCACGGCGAAAACCGTATTGGCGGTCACTAATCAGCTGGTGATCCTCAAGGTACCTCATGAGCTGGCAGTTTACAATGGACTCCATTGTTTTGGAGAACAAGGAGGTGATGGCGATAGGCCGGTAGTTGGACGGGTCTGAGCGGTCGCCTTTTTTAGGGATCGGGTGGACGAAAGCCGTCTTCCATGATTTTGGGACTACGCCTAGGGAGTAGGAGTACCGGAAAAGACGCGTTAAAACCGGTGCCAACTCTGGAGCACACGTCCTCAGCACAATTGGGGGGATTCCATCAGGCCCACTCGACTTATGGATGTCCAGGGAGAGGAGTGCTTTGCGAACCGAGCGCTGAGTGAACTGCACTTCCGGCATGGAGCACTCACACCGCGGGATGGTCGGCGGCGTACTCCCCCCGTCATCGAGAGTCGAGTTAGACGCAAAGAAAGAGCCTAGAAGATCGGCTTTCTCCTTTGCGGTATGGGCCAGTGAGTCGTCCTCCCTGTGCAGAGATGGAAGAGATGGCTAACAGAAATTCCCCTGGACAGCCTTGGCGAGAGACCAGAATGCACGGGTTCCAGAAGGAAGACGAACTAGTCTCTCGCCAATTCTGCCTATGTGCTCTGACTTTGCCTTGGCAATGACTCTTTTGAAGGACCTAGAGGCGGAATTATACTTCTTTTTTAGAGCGCTGGTGTTTACATCCCTGGACGCTGATGCGTCAGCCCAGGCTCGGTAGCACTCCTGCTTATAGCATGATGCTATTTTACAGGAGCGACCAAACCATGGCTGAGATTTGCCTCCAATGGGCACCACAGAGGAAGGAATAAAAACTTCCATACCCTGAAGTACCACATCAGCGACAGAATCCGCAAACAACGTTGGGATCATCCGGCGAGAAGCAAACCCGCCCCCAAGGGTAGGATGCAAAGAAAGACCGCATCCCATCCCAATCGGCTGACCTATAGTGCCAAACACGGCGGCAGCCTGCAGAATGCAACCGCGATTTTAGCGTGAGTGGCACCACACTCCGGACAAGACAATGGTCCGAGGAGCCTAAAGGGGCGTCGACGGAAATCTGATATCCGTCCGGGTGAGAGGTCAGCAGAAGGTCCAACAGGGAAGGTGCATGATCCTCCACATCTGGAATCCGCGTAGGCGAAGTAACCAGTTGTGTCAGACCATATGCCAAGACAAAATCATGAACAGATCTCCCCGCATGATCGGTTAAAAGTGAACCAAGCCATTCGGCGTGATGGGCGTTAAAGTCGCCGAGGATCACGATCTCTGCGGAGGGGATCTGCTGTAGCAACGAATCTGCAGCCATTTTGACGTGGTCGAAGAGTCGGTCTGTTTCGGCATTACCGCTATGGGACCTATAGAGGCACCCGTAGACGCGCGGATGGTCGTCGCTGTCTACGCGTAGCCAAAGGAAGGACAGGTCCGAACCTTCAAGTCTGCCGAGGCGTCGAGAACAGATGTCCTCTCTGACGTAAACGCAAACTCCAGCCCGAGGCACAAAGGAGTGTTCCAGTTTGTACCCCGGGCAGGAGAGATACGAGACATCAGCCGGAGAGGACACCTGCGTCTCGGTCAGAAAGAGCAGAGCCGGCCTCGCCGTCTCGAGATGGTAGTGGACGGCGTTTAGGTTAGAGTGAAGTCCCCTGATATTGCAGAAATTCACGGAGAGCGTGGCAGGGGTCGCCTTGGTCTTGTTGCTCCGTTTGCCCCGAGCAGTTCTAGTCTTGAGCGGAATATTGCCCCCCCCCCCCAGAATACGCGGGGCAGCCAGAGCACCCACGCTGAGAAGTGGAGAAACATGGTCGTGTATGCTCAGCGAGGGATTCTCCAGGGGTGCTGGTACCCTCCTGGGGTAGACTATCATTTAATTCCACTACCATGTTGATGGGGGGGGGGGAATTGGGCCTCCGGCCACCTGCACTCACCAGACGAAACGCGGAAGCAGAGCTTCCACTTCACGCCGGTATTCTGTGAGGTCGTGGTACCACCCCGGTTTGAGCCGGCCCATACGTGCGACAGCAAAGCTGCCGCGTGGCTCTACCACTGTTAAAAAGTGTGCTCCTTTGTCACCCTTACTCTAAAAAAACTCTGCTTTCCCCTCCCGGGTGAGCATCCCCCCACCCCGCGAAAGTGCACCGAAACACAGTTATTTCCAGTTTTAAAGATAACTGTACACGGTACATGAAAAGTGTAAGGGTACGAAATGATCCTTGCTAAATTATCTATAAATCTTTTATACACACAAAATCGACATGATTTATGATTTTCGCGCAATCTGTCACAAAATATGAATATTTTCTATTTATAAAAATTTCCATCTTTACCGCCAAAATATGTATGACTAAAGTAAAGAATATAAAATTGTCTTTAAAAAGAGGTATAAAATTATTTCTGAATTCTTTCATTATGATAAAACTATTTATTTTAATAAGAATTTATACTTCGATACGAATGCAATCAATTTTTGTTTCAATCGGCGATCTAATTAAATTTTAGAACACAAAAGTTACTATTGTGACTCAACTATTATAGTTAGATATAATCCCATGTGGACTTTTTTGTAGGTAATAATGAGAATTTTAATCATGTAGTACATAATTTTTCATCAATAGTTTCCTAAGCAGACGCCAAATGATGAATTTTATAGGCAAAATTTTAGGTTACATTATTGCAATTTATTCTTAAGGATCTCTATTAAAAAAAAATTAGCCTACATTACTTTCTGATAATTTAGGTTTCAATTGGTGAAAAAATGGTCAAAATCGGTCCAGTAGTTTCGGAGCTTATTCGGTACAAACAAACAAACAAACAAAAAATCTTTTCTTTTTTTATAATATTAAGTAATAATAGATAGGAGGTTCATGTAAGAGGTTAGGTTAGGTAGTAGGTATGTGGAGACGAGGCCCGTACAGACCGGGTCAGCACTAGTGTGGGGCTGCGGAAGAATTTGGATTCCCGCGGCCCCTCGCGTGCACGTGCGAGGAGACACCGGGGTGGTTTTAGCCGGTAAGAGTCCGGCACACCCCTCCGCCTTTCCCCAGGCAGAGGCAGTCCATGAGGATTTCCCCCCGTAAAAAAAAAGGTAGGAGGTATGTATGTTTATTTGTTCTTGTATGTCCGCCTGCACCATAAATTGCTTATCGCATTTGAAGTATTGGATGTCACATTATGTTTCAAAACAAAAAAGCAATATGGCACTTACTTGAAGACTATCAGATTGAACATGTTATTTTATTAAATGATAGATGACTGTGGTAGTTTTGTTTTTTAAGAAGTAATAGTAGGACTTATTATTATTATTATTGGCTAAAGAGTGGAGGGGCGAAAAAAGAGGAAGAGTGATGGAGGAGAACTAGGAAGGATGATAGTGGAGGAGGGACAGAGGAGGAGGGAGATGGAAGAGGTGGAGAAAAGAGGAGTGCCGGAGGAGTATGTGTAGGAGAGGGGTATGAGGGGCATGCAGTTCGGCCAGCACTCACCAGTCGCTGCGGAACAGGCTGAAGGAGCCGTCGGGCTTCATGAAGGAGAGCTGGCGCTGGTACAGCACATTCATGTGTGCGAAGGCGTCGCGTTCCAGCGTGCGGTTGCGCTGATTGGTGAGCCGCATGTACAGCGTCAGGTACATGTTGGCCGCGAAGCTGAACATGTTCTGCTCCGCCGAGTCCTGCCACATGTCTTCCCGTTTATTACTTAGTCTCTCTCGGTCTCCCAGCAACACAACAAATATAACTAATTGGACTTCAAATTCCTTCCTTCAATTTCCAATTGATTTAATGGCTTTTTTAGTCATGTTTTAAATCTTCGATACACTAATCTGAGCACTAGTCGGCTAAACAATATCACAACTTCAAGATAACCAGAATTTTGTCTAATCCCTATTTTCCCATATAACAAATCTTGACTGACAGCCTATTTAATTAAACAAAAAAACGCTAAAATCGGTGAACATCGTGCAATATACATACAACAAAAACATACCGGGTGTTTGTAAAACAAATTGTTAAGGCGTCGGGATGGAACAAGCGTGTCATACTGTACACTTCACAAGTTGTTAAAGCGTAACCGAATGTGACCATACAAAAAGTGCACAAAGTGCAAGCTTTAGTTCCGGCGAATTTTCTGCCGTTGATTATTAGACCAGCAACAACGTGTGCCTGGTTTCATTAAACACGTCATCTGACGAGTCGACATCTACCAGAAACGGCCTGTGGAACCGAAAAAAATTCTGTGGGGGTATGTGAAAGGGTTTTTAATCGTGAGTGTGATAGTGCTGACGAAATGCTTTAATCGTCGATTTTTTCAACAAACTACGTGCGGATTGTGTCGAAGACCCCATAATGATACCCAGCCTGCATGACGAGATGCAACGCCGAGCCCAAATCTGCTTCGAAATGAATGAAATGTGGCCAATTAGAGCCGCATCTCATAAGGCCACGGAGGATTTAGATCGCTAAGCTGTTTCATCCCTAATTATTTTTAATAACTTAATACTGCATGCAGCATATTAAACGCAACTACACGATGGATAAAAAAGCATAACTCTATCCTTGTTAAAATTGCATTTAAGTAAATTTATCATTAGCGTCCAATACCTGTGAATATGAATTAAAGTGGCTAGGTGGAAATAAGTACAGAGGCAAAATAGTAGGTAAAGTAGATAAGTTAGGTATTTAGACAAGTGTTGTAAATTATTAGGTATTGGTATGATCGTTAGCTGCGGGCCGTGCTAATTCTTAATTCGGCGTCCGCAAATATTGACCCTGATGTCAGCTAATTTATTCATTTAAGTTTCACTACTGGTTTTATGTTTAAGTATTTTCATGATTTTTTTTTAAATTATCGTTTCATTTAGCTCTGACTGGTTTCGATCATGTTAATGGTGTTAGTCTATGCGGTTCTCACAGCTTCTAACACGATGGAGAGTGAATAAAACTAATAAAACGTTGTGAAAAGATGATTTTTTAATTGGGATTGATTTTCTCTCTATCCCATCATCAAAGGTATCGTTAGTACTATCGTTTGTCTTCGTTTTGGGGAGCGTTTTACAAACACCCGGTATAAAGTACATAGCCTTATGTAAACTTCCGACTTTACAATCTTTCTATGTGAAAGAGTTTTTTTGCATGCTTTGCGTATATGACAACAAAAGACTATACTCACCATAGGTAAGTCGAGCAAACTGGTGGCGTTAACAGGCATAGTCGGGAACAGCGGCCCCACCACATCTCCGACGACTGTAACTCGCGCTTTATTCGACCCGTACACGTAGTAACGGTCCACTTCGTACGGAATAATGGGCGTTTCCGTAACATTCACGTGCATGTACTGGAACACATAGGCGCGATTCGACAGGTCCAGGAGCACTGACTGGTGACGATACTGTGGTATTCCGTCCGCCTGCGAATAAAATAATGAAAGTTAGTATTGGGTGTTATTAACTTAAATAAATAACATTTAAAAGATGTTCTCTTAAACATATTGTTACGAGCTTAGGGTTCGTGACAATAAAAATTGCCGATAGAATTACCAAAATTAACACTTTAATTCACTTTACACTAATTAAACTTAAAACACTAATAATTAATCACACTGATTCACTTTATTTCGCTCCGAAGCTTCGCTTGTCTCGCCAAATTCAATACTTCCCCGATCGCACCTTGCCGCGCCTATAAATACACATTAGCACCGAAACATCCAGAACATTCAAGTAAATACGCGCAAGGCGTCGAGAAGTCGAGTGTCGGCTTCTAGAAGCTTAGTTCTTCGTTTCGACACTAGATGGCACTGTCGGTTGAGATTAATGATGTCATTTTCTGGAAAGTTCTCTCCTCGCTCTGTTACCCGACACTAGATGGCGCTAGGGCCAGATGTCAAGTTAGCCGCGCAACAATATTTATTGAAATTGGTAACTTGATACCACACAGATTAACTTGTAGTGTTGCCTGTTTGCAATTACAGTGAAAAGTGATGAAGTTCACACAGTATGAAATTCGTATAATGTAATAGTTGGAAATACACTATTTGTAGAAGTGAGAAACGAGCACAATCTACTTAACGGAGTGTTCTTTTTTGTGTTTTGTTACTATTTATCAGATTTACTTGATTTTGCGATTTTTATTTTAGTAATGAAAGTAAGCTTTATGCTGTATATTCTATGAGTAATCGAAATTTCGCAAGACTTTTATATTTTAAGAGTAATATTGTGGTAGTGCCATTTTGAAAGGACGAAAGAAAGAAATGGTATGTTAATAAGGACATTCCCTGGGATTCTCGGGAATATTTTTCTGAATTTGGATGTACTAAATGTAGTTAAAATGTTATTATATTCATTTCCACTTTTAATTTCTACTATTCATTCCCGGTATAAGCTGGTTCCACGCGATGCCGTTTGCCGTGTTCTGTCCAATAGGTGGAATCTGATTAAACTCGAATTAGGTAGCTTGATATGTCGTCGTGTGTACAACTATACCGACTTTTAAATTGCTCGTCAATTTGAAATAAATTCCTAAGTTACAAATCGAAAGAAATCACGTCGTCTGTAGTTTGTTCACTTATTTGTAGTACAAAAGATGAGAAACTGTATCTTCTTATTATATCTCAGTAAGCACCACTTTTATTAAAATAATTTGTGAAATATGAAAGTGATTAAATAATAAAGATAAAAACAAAACAAATATTCATATATTCAAATCAACAACATTAGTGCATAGGAACAAAAATGGTAAAATTAAAAATTTTGTACAACCGACTTCAATATAAACAAAATGATTTTTTTACGTGGTAGAGCCATGCTGCAACAATATTACTGGTATAGTTGTAGCACGAATGGGTGGATCGACCGGGGAAGGACCACGCTCGCATAGAACACCAGCGTCAAATAGTAGCTTGACGCTACTGTGTTTCGTTTAATGAGTGTAGAGAACCGGAGACCCTTTTTACCGGAAACGAGGCATTCCATCTCAGTCCTCACGGGTGACAACGCACAGACGGTCTGTGTACTCGTTTGCCACCTTTATACCACAAAAAAAAATCATCAATGTAGTCGAATTCAATTAATGACGCATTATTAAGTATAACTCAAAAACTACTGGTTAGATCTTGTTTAATCTTTATATATGAACGATCACCCGACCGGAAGCATCCCCCTTGACGGTCCTAATATAAAAATGGCACACAAAAAAATTGTTTGATTACTAGTGTTTAAGTAAAGAAATTAAAGTGTTAATTTAGGTATTTATCCTACACCCCTCTAACTGAACGCGGCCGGCCGCGCTATTACATTACGCTTTGAGTTCCGCACCCGACAACTAGTTTTAAATGTAATTAGTTTGTAATTAAATAACTAATTAAATATAATACATTTTATTGCGGAGTTTCATTGAAAATTCCTCAAGAAATTGAAGATCAGCGTGATCAGATCTTCGAATCAAATTTATGTAGGACCACATGAGAAGCATCAGCTTTCAAATAAAAAAATAATCATCAAAATCGTGACACCTAAAAAATAGTTCCGTAGTGACGCAGCTTAAAAAATACAGTCGAATTGAGAACCTCCTCCTTTTTGAAAATCAGTTGAAAATGTAAAATGTACTTGCGCAGTAGTTAATTAAATTCTTAGCTTAACTTAGTTTGGTCCGAGAATTGATAGCTTAAATATATTGAAACCATAATAATACCGAAGTTGCACTGTTAACCCGAAAGTTAAACTGTTGATGCAAGCGGACTTTAAAAAATAGACAAATCATAAACTTCAATCTTAATTCCATATTAAAGAAGTTCATGATCTACCCGATTAATATAAATAACCAATTATTTTATCCAAGCCTCGCAATTTTGCGACAATCGCGTGATTTTAGACCTAATTCTTGATTTTATTATGCAAACTTGTTTATGATGAATCAGTTTTTATTCTATGCAGATGGAAAGTTAAACTAATATAGAATCTCGAAAAACCCATAAACATTCTTTATATAAGATTATATTGAATGGGTAAAGTGAAACCGAGTCCTCACGTCACCCGCGATGAGGTATATAGTGCAAGGGAAAGTGATGACTTAAGTGAACATTACAATATGTGCAATACGGATTGTTAAAATAATTCTCAATAAAATAAACCGGTTAGGTAAACTAAATAAATATTTCCCGAGATTCAGCAGGCATATCCATATTAAGATAATGCTCAATAAATCCCGTGAATGGCACTATCTTCGCGGATCACTAAATGGTTAGTAATTTATCTTATTATTTTTTAGCAGGAATGATGAACTTTACCGGAAACTCGCTCTTACTGATTTCTGCCGTAAAATAGCAGTTTAATACTATTATGTTTCGTATGGCGAGTAAGGAGAACTGGAGACCATTTTTAATGGAAATAATTTCAATGTCTATAGGTCATAGTATTCACTTACCATCAGGTGGACTGTGTGCTCATTTGGCACATTTATTTCATAACGTTATGGTGACTGTTACTGTAACAGTTTATTTAGCTAGCCGCTAGCTCAGAAAGAACAGCAAACAGGTTAATTACACTGTTGAAGATGGGTTTCCCCCTTGAGTTTTCCTCATAGGGGTATACTTGTCACAACTGCCACGTTGGGGAATGGCAGCTTTTTTTATCCTTTTTTCGTTATTAGGAAGACGCTGTTGGCCATCTCTTGATTTGTTTGGCTCTGTCGCCTCTTGCGACAGTGACGGGATGCTGCAGGGTAGTGGATATTCTGGCACCGTTACTGTACGGCAACCTATTGCAGAATATTGTGCGTACCTCGACGAGGATGTCCTTGACGTAGTGGTGCTGGCCCATGAGCGTGGAGGCGTGCAGACGCACGCGCATTTTGCCCAGGCGCGCCGGCACCACGGGCACGTACACGGTGGCGGCGTCCCCCGCGCTGATGTACACGAAGAACTGATGCTCGCCGAACGACGTGCGCGGGTTGTACGACCGCACCTGCGCGCAAGCACACACTACATATTTATATATAACAATACACAATTTTTACAAAAATCTACTTCAAGCACTATTTTGTCACAAATTGAAAAGAAGAAGGAAACGAAACTAGTGCTTACAGTATTAGATAAACTAGTGATGTACAGCAAATTGTTAACTTTAAAAGTAAAATTTGTGAAAAGATAATAAATGATTTTTTGTTACTATTACTATACAATACGCAACCAGAAACGGGACCTCTGAGACTACAGCCGCATGGAGGAGGGGAAGGAAACCGCAAAAATCTAGCAATGTAAAAGGACAGTGACCCGAAAGTAGTCACGAGACACCGTGAGTTATCACTACAAAGGTGCTGGGGACAATAAACACAGCCCCTGGAACATGTTTTAATAAAGCATAAACGAGAGAAGAACCTCAATTACGTTCCGAACGAAAATCCCAAAACTTCTAATATATGCTGGTAGAAACCGCCGAGAACTTCAGCCAGTAGAAGTCTGGCATAATGATTTGTATCACCCCCGCACCCAGAAGTATCCAGATTACCCAATGATAAAAAAATTCACCAATTCGAAAAAACTTTCCCCACTATTTTTTATATTTGCAAATGCAACATATAATTTAATATTATGTACCCTATGCCACTCTCACAAATAAGAAGAATTCCATATTTTAAAATCCATTGCCATTTAGCCTACAGACCGTACCAAATAAATAGACATACATACATATTACGTGTTCATGAATGCCTCATGCCGCGCCTCAAACGTCGCCATTACAGTACCGACAGCAACGCTGAAGCATATCTACGTCCATTGTTTGTGCGATCTCTAGTTTGGTTCTTTTTTTTGTTGTTTTTGTTGCTGTTGATTTTTTGTTTCTGTTAACTTTTTACGCTTGTTAATTTAATAGAATGGAGTGATGGCACTAATGCAGATAAGAGCGATTTCGATGACAAAACTGGTATCGAAGTTATGGATGCGTAAATATCTGCCCATCAGTTTTTGTTCGCGCCTTCGTAAATCATTAATTTAAAATATATAATAAAATATTTTGTTTTACAAGACACGTTCCTTCTATTCACTCTACTAATATATATTAACTTGATTGTTCTGTTCGTTGTAAATATGATGTTACAGACAAACCGTCAGCATTATAAAAAATCTATTAAAATGTCGTTGGTCAAAATAGGACAACTAATTTACAGATTACAGGCAAACAAAGAAAAATACAAACAAAGCGAAAAATATTTTCTTTTGAGTGTAACCGAAGTCTTCATAATATAATCTTACTTAAAAATAGACAAAACTTTCTTGTGCAGGCAATACTCACAAATCCGTTTTCCTCGACATGCACAAACTTGTAGTCGGGCGAGGCGGCCAGCACGACGATGGCTTCGATGTCCTGCGGCTGATAGTTGAACACCACGACGCGGAGACCGAGCTGCTCGCCCTGCTTGCAGCGATCCGGGCCTTCCACTTTGATGAAGAATGGCAGCACACCATCATACTGTGTAAATGAAGTAACATAAGTTTTTACATAATAAATTTAATAGTTAATTTAGTATTTAAATCAGAGGTTAGTAACTTAGCAGGTGTTAAGTAATTTACTCATGTGTTCACACAACCAGAAAAATAGACAAATGTGTATATAATAAAAAAAGTATTTCTTTAATTATACAAAGATAAAAATATTATACTTTTTATCGTTTTTCAATTTTTGGCAACGAAAAATGAATCTGTATTTTTAATCCAAGGTATACAAGAGTACAAGGACCATAGGCTTCATTTACTATCAGCAGGACTGAGTATTTTAAGCCTTACTTCTTTTAAAAAAATGCACAATTTTGAAAAACGTTATATGATTACAACAGTGACGTAGTTCAACACTAAAGTTAGGCTTATGCAGAGACAATCTTAAGTTTAAGCTCAAGCTTCACATTGGTACAATTTGTGCAACAAAATATGGTCTGCACTAAAATAATGATATTGTTAAGTTTGCTTTAAAACTCAAAATTGTTTCTGAATATCGCCCTCAGTTTCGATGCTGATATTGAATGCAATTATAAAATTTATGAGTGTCATGAATTTCATTATAACGGTGAAAAACTGATTACACTTTGTTGTCAATATTGATTGACAAATTAAAACAGTGAGACTATTGTAACAGTTTGGAAATATATGGTAGTAGTTGTCTCAATGGCAGTTAGTGTCCGAAAAAAAAAACCAATCTAAAACTTAAACATGTTAAAAATTAACTAGCCAAGATTCGCGTAATAACATATAATGTTTTGTCTTTGCTATGGCGGGAGGTGTTCTTCGAATTAAGTAAGATATAGAATTTATTTAATTACGCTAAACTTTGGTAATTATTTTTTTTTAATCTTTAAGATAATGGACTTCCGCCGAGTAACGCTTTATTTTATTAATAATTTGAAACTTGTAGACAGCCAATCATAACGTATCCCCTATAGATTAACCTCATCATCATGGCTAGTTCAGTTAATTGCTTAGCACTTAACTGACCTGGCCATGATGATGAGGTCTGCAATCAGTCACACGGCAGTCAATCACTTAGTAATGTGGTGGTGGTAATCTGAGGCAAGCAAGCATTTGAGATGTGACACGGACCCGCACGGGCTTGGGCAGCACGGCCAGGCCGGAGCTGGGCGACATGCTGAAGGCGGAGAGCGTCCAGCGCGCCGGCGCCTGCGGCACGTCCGCGGTGAACACGAAGCGGCCGTGCGGCCCGATGTTCACGTCGCGCCACAGCCACGCGTTCTCGTACTGCCGCAGCACGCGGTTGAACCGGAACTTGCGGAAGTGCTGCAGCGACCGCGAGTCGTCGTGTGAGCCTGCACCGCCACCCCATTGTTATATTATCTAATAACTGAGCCCAGCTTATACAACAATACACACGCGTACGTACATACATCTGACATTATCTTTACATAGTTACACACACACACACACACACTGACATACATACATACATCGGTACGGACGTCCACGTGAAATTAGTCAGAATAGCTTCCTGAGATCTCAAAACGTCGAGACCTGATGAAAACTCGATCTTCGAAAATCGGGGTAAAACCAATAACTTGCCTATTTTTGAAAATTTTAAATTTTCTTATCGAGAAGTTAGAAACCACGTGTGAATGACTACGCGACAAAAAGTTGACTATGGTGTCGTCAGTTAAAATTACGTAATGTATTGCCTATCCATCTTTACCGGTCTTAATGCGTAAATAAACCAGAAAAGTTAGTTAATTATAAATTTCGTAATTTGTATGTATGTTCATACGTTTAACGGCTATCTCACTTGCTCACGTCATCCCGCGGCTGTCGTAAGACACGACAGAGGGAAACAAAGCACAAGATAAACAACAGCGTCTGCCTAATAGCACGTAAAAAAACCCACTTACTGCTAATGCTAGAGTGGAAACTATAGCAAACATCCCCCCTACGAGAAAATCTACGGAGGAAACCTAAGTTCATCAGTGAAATATTTAGTAAACTATAACGATAACGGTAGCGGTATGTACGTTTCACTACCATGCATTTGTCCAGAAATTTTGTCAAGCACTACAAAAATTACCATCTCCTGCGATTTTTCTGGAAACCTTCAAAGAACAGATAGAGAGCAACGCCAAGTGTAACTTGGATTAAAAAGTCTTTAAGTTTCTAGAATAATATATATCGGAAACTAATAGGTGTTTTATTTTATTTTTATAAAAATAAGTTGGTCGTCACGGGACGTTTGACAGATGTGAAATATCATAAGTAAAGGGAAAATTTCATCATCATCATTACAGCCCTTCACAAGTCCACTGCTGAACATAGGCCTCCCCCAAAGCACGGTCCTGAGCCACCTGCATCCATCGACTTCCTGCATGTCTTACCAGGTCGTCACTCCATCTAGTGGGGGGCCACCCTACACTAAGCCCACCATACCGGTACGAGGCTACCACTCGAAAACCTCCGTTCCCCAACGGTTGTCGGTTCTTCGAGCTATATGGCCGGCCCGTTGCCACTTCAGTTTACTAATCCGTTGGGCTATGTCGGTCACTCTGGTTTTACTGCGGATATGCTCATTCCTAAGTTTATCACGCTAAGAAACCCCGAGCATCCATAGCTCGCTGAGCGACTTTGAGCGTCCTCATACGGCCAGCAGCGAAGGACCACGTCTCAGTTCCATAAGTCATCACTGGCAACACGTGCTGGTTGTACAGTCTCGTTTTCAGGTTTTGAGGTATACCTGACGAGAAGATGTGTCGTAATTTCCCGAACGCTGCTCAGCCGAGTTGGATCCGTCGATTGACCTCTCGGTCGAAGTAGGACTTACATAGTCGGACTATTTGTATTGCAGCCCTACTGTACAAGCACTTCAGCACTTCAATATACTGACAGTCTACTTGGCACCGCTGAAGGGACTGTAGCACCGCCCAAATTTCGACGGAATCAAAGGCTTTCTCGTAGTCCACATACTCCAGGCCAAGTGGCAGATTGTACTGGTCTGTCTACCGATTTTGCCGAAGGGTCTGTATGTGGTCCATGGTGCTAAAGTCTTTTCGGAAACCGGCTTGTTCGTGAGGCTGAAAATCGTCGAGTCTGCGTGCGAAACGATTCGTAATGACTCTCGAAAACAGTACGTAGACGCGGCTCACGAGGGATATCGGTCTGTAGTTCTTCAAATGAGCGTTGTCAGCTTTCATGAAGGACAACACCACCGGACTTCTGCTCCACGTCTCGAGAGTAGTGCCACCATGGAGGACGGATTTAAAGAGAGGAATTAAAGGACTTCAAGTATCGGTTTTCCACCCGCTTTCAGAATCTCTGCTGTAATTCCATCCTCACCCGGGCACTTGCCGTTTTTAAGGTGCTGGAGGGCCATTCTAATCTCGTTCAGACTGACGTCCGGAATATTATCGGAACAGTGTCGGATAAGACTTGCTCTTGCATTGCTACTCACAGTTGCATGTGGCTCCAACGATGACGTGTACAGCTGCCCATAGAATCTCTCAATCTCACTCAAAAGGTAGAATTTGTAAATAATGAATTCTAATAAAGAAATATATAGTAAAATAATTAAAAAAGAAATATAAAGTATGCATATAAGCGTATTAGTTTCATTAAAAAAATACGTGTGGCACTCGTGGACTGCCGTGGTAAAGCTATTGCATAGCATTTTTATCAACTTATGCAATTATAATTATTTATTTATTTTATTTATGCAGTATTTTTTTCTTTGATATTAATTCAAGTTACACTTTTTGAGCGTGGTGACCGATAAGAAAACATTTTTTTTTCTTTAATTGAATAAATGAGAACACATGTAGGTTATTCAGGAATTTTTATCATTGAAACTATAGGTTTATGGTTAATTAACGAGTTCTTCCGACAAACGATAATTTTCTATAAAGTCTGTGTTTATTAAATACTCTGATTTCACGAAAGTTGTTAGCATGATGACGAGTCATATAAATCCAAAGAATATGCTTCTTGTAATAAACTATATTATTGTTTAAAATATTTTTATTATCTTACAATACATGCAACTAGTCTACGCGCATACGTCTAGTCACACACGCACGCACACAAACACCGCGCCGAAGTCTGCCGAACTGAAACGACGTTAGACGATGTTAGGTTTTGGGGTCTTAGGTATGTTATGTATATATGTTACGGAATTTCTTGATTCGATCGCCGCGCTGAAAGCCCGCGATAAAAGCTGTGCAATAGCTTAAAAGCATACGTAGTCCAAACATACACAGAAAAGTAAAGATACATATAGCATACATGCACCCACGCACAAAGAAGTTGGGAGTGGCGGCGTAGGCCGGGCATGGTAGCATAATATCTACACTTCAATTCATTTCAATTTTTGAACCTGCCTTTTTTTGTCTTAACTTTCATTGTTATACTAATCTTATAGTAAAATCATGTTAAATTATTTTGCTTTTCCATGATATTCCATGAATTTTCATGTGTGCCAAAAAGAAACACGGGGCCCCTGATAAAGTTTTTACTTAAAAATTTCTTTAGAGGCCGTGTGTATACTTTTGGAAACACGCAAACCAGCGATGGCATTGTCGTTTTGAAATGCAGGGATAAGAGGATTTCAGTGCTGAATGTTTTTTGAAACATTCAAAACTGAAAACCGTTGCCAAAAAAAATCGCATGAACCAAATTATCCTAAAGCCGACGTACAACGTAGATTACACTTGAATGATCAGACGGCGTCGTACAACTTAGCGTTGAGGCGTTGTACAAAATAGTACAGAAAATTATTTTTTGAAGTATTGTAGGGTATCAGCATCGTGAATGCTCTATTTTTGTACATCTTCTGATTTGTTTCCCTCTGTCGCTTCTTACGACGTCCACGGGATGTGGCGCAGTGGATGTTCTGCCGCTAGCACAGTCGTACAGTAAAGAGGTTGCTAGCAGTATAAGAAAGTGATGCAAGTACAGCCGGCCTCGTCGGTGCGGTCGGCGCAGTCGGCGACGCCGTCGCAGCGCTTGTCCAGCGGGAAGCAGCCGCCGTCCAGGCACTCGGCCAGCCCCTGCGCCGCCGCGCAGCTGCCGGGCCGCCGCGTCAGCTCCACGTCACTGAACACCACCAGCCCCGCGTACCTGCACATTCATTTCTTATCAAACGACCATGTTTTTAAAGTGAAATCTTTTTTTTTAATCATAATTTAAAACCAATGAATCGAAAAAGAGACAAACATATGTGTTTGTCTCTTCACTAGTAGTGTGAGAACACTATCCTACCCCAGTCGAACCGACCCATTCAAGCTACAACTATAATATAGCTCTACCATAATTAAAATATTTTTTACAAAAAGATCTCTTGATTGTAAAACAATACACCATGTAAAAAAAATCAAAAAATATATATTTATGATAGATTTTGTAAAAAGTAAACTAGAAATATTGATTTCTATCTATAAAATTGCTATTAACTAATTACTACTAATTTTATATTTCAATTTTAAGGATATTTTTTTATTTGTGCCTCAAATCTGCAAAACGCTGTCCGCCATATTGTAGACTGTCATGTCGTGACGTCACTGATCCCGCCTAAGGGTATTAGTGCTCGGTTTAACTCATTAAGAGAAATAGCTAATGTACTGTGTTTCGAAATTTTTCAAGTTATCATTTCGATTATTGAGTTTCATTCCGAATTTTATTGAAAAGGCATATCATGGAAGACCGAATTCGTAACAGCAGAAAGTATTAATCTACCAAATATTAATAAATTAATGGTGGCAAAAATTTTTGCATGCAATCCCAATTTTTGTTCCGCTGAGTTGAGGTATGTTAAAACATCAATGAAAGTCTTATTACCAACTTTGTTTATACAAAAACACAATACCAGGTCAGAGTGTATTTTGATAAAACATAGTTTAGTAGCTATCATAGTTTAGTTTATCTATAATTACAATCATTAGCAATATCAGTTATAATATCTAAGTTAACGTAATTAATACAAAATTTGACTTGCGGTAATCCTTCACCTCATGATGTTCTGTTTTTTTATAAACGATAGTTTTTTAGACAATGTATTCGGGTATCTTTTTTCCAGTTTTAACCAAGTATTTCTTATATTTAAATCAGTTGGCACTTGAATCCATAACTTTCCCGACGTTCTTATGCTCGTATTTTTGCATTCAGGCACATTACAACAATTATATAGATGATAACTCATTATTAAACATTAAAAAAGTATCTTATTTCTTTGCAAAATCGCCAAAATTCTAGAACAGTAACGTCACGAGTAGAACAGCATGGCAGCTAGCGGTTTCGCGCGAAAATTTAAAACGATAGATTAAAAGTAATTTTTGTGGCCCTATTCGGTTTAAAAAAAATTATATAAAAAATATGGCGGTTCATCATCACTCTAGGATTAATTTAAAACACTTTTTGAAAATGTTAAAATACCTTATTGAATCTCAAATGATTTATGTACTAAAAAACGTGCAGACATCAAACATTAAGACTTGACTTGTATGAACATACTAAATATGTAATGAGATGAGAAGGTCAAATTGGCAGACAACGCCGCGAAAGGGAAAGGGTAGCTCATTCTGTATCTCATGATTTAATACTTAAATTAAAAAAAAAATAATCCTATACTATAAAGTAGGTTCACATACAAAAAAATTAAACTGACATAAAACCACGCGCGGATATTTTAATTGCAGACCATCACCGCAACCAAACACGTTTAGCTGCTTCCTACTATGCCACTTTTACAAAAAGTTTTTAACATTTACTCAAAAGTCCTGTTCGCGTCGATGCCGAAGCTGGATGAGGGGAAGTAGACGAGTTCATCTGGGTCGCCAAAGTGCGAGCGGAACGTATACGAAAACGTGCCGTTAGTTGCTTCGTCGAAGTGCGACATTTTCGAAATCACCTGTCATCAAAGAATAAACGTTATGAACAGTAGACTTTTTTACGTTGTACTTGTACTGCAGTAATTTTGCCAGTGTTTTTTTTTATAGAATAATGGTGACAAGCGAGCACACAGTCTACATGATGATAAGTAGATGCAGCAGCATATACACATCTACATCTTTCCTCGTTTAAAAATCAAGATAAAGATGCGTTATCAACCGTGAGGACTACGAAGGAATTTCACGTTACAAGTAAAAAGGGTATCTCAATCTCTACACTGACAATACGAAACACAGCAGCGTTAAGCTGCTATTTTACACTGGTATTCCGTGAGAGCATGGTCGTTCCCTGGTCCAGCCGACCCATTAGTGCTACAAATATAGCCGCAGCATGGCTCTATCACGTAAAGTAGGTATAATTGTTCTTAAAATAATATGTACGTTAACAATATTGAATCAAAAATTTCTATTCTCAATATTCCCAAGCTCAGGACAAATAGGGTTGATTTTTTCGTTTACATTATACGGCATATGGCGTGTTACCTTGGCGTAGGTGAGCTCGTTGCCGGCCTGCATGGTGTAGAAGGCGTCGTCGATGGCAGACAGGCCCACGTAGGCGCCGGGCTCGCCGTACACGGCCACCTCCACGCGCTCGCCGCTGCGGTGCTTGCGGTTGTTGATCGACACCGTAAACTGCGCACACGCACCCACGTTACAGCCAGCGTACGAGACCCTCATCTTATGTATTATCCGGTTAACAAGGTCACTTTATTAACTCAAAAACTACAGCCTTGTTTGCATAAATGCCACTGTGATACGATAATATAAAATAATACAAGGTCAAAAGGGCGCTACTTTATCGACGCCATTTTGACAGTTGACACGTCATTAACTGTTTTTAACCGACTTCAAAAAGGAGGAGGTACACAATGCAGTTGTAAGTTTTATTTATGTGTGTTACCTCAGAACTTTTTTCTAGGTGAACCAAATTTGATTATTCTTTTTTTATTTGAAAGCTGGTGCTTCTCATGTGGTTATATACAAATTTTAATAAAATCTGACCAGTGGTTTTTGAATTATTGAATGCGTATTTAATTGACTTCGAATACATTGATGATGTTCTCATTTTATTTATATTAAAATCGGTTGTACAATATTTTTTTTATTTTTACCACTTGTGTTGAGTTGATTTTTCGAAGTCTTTTTAAATATTGCGAATGCTTGTTTGTTTTTATTTTCTTAATATATTAGTTATAGAATACCACTTCGTGTTTTATCTTTATTCTCCTCCTAATTTTGATTCAATAGAGCAGTATATTACCCTCACGTAACTTATTATAAATTACAAAACATCAAGCATTGAATTAATATGTACTACGTACTAGAACAGACACTGCGTACAAAATCTGAGCAACAGTATATATATAAGTCACGTGGAAGGAGGGACATAGTACTTTTTTATGGCAAAGACTGAGTAAGTTTAAGCCCGGGGGCTATAAGGCGTGTTGCAATCAAACACTGTCGGCGTCTCTTCTAGTACGTAGTACATATTACTTCATCAAGGAACATTTTCATTCATTCAGTACAGACCGTCAAAGAACATAGATTAATTCAAGGATACCTGCCATATTCAGGCCAACAAATGCAGTTTTTATTATTTTGAGTTGTTATTAAAAAGAACCAATTGCCTATCTCTTCTATTCCATCTGTCGTCTCTTACGATACCCATGGGAAAATAAGAGGTTTTCACACGGGCGCCATCTCCGCAACTAATGTGAACATTGGGTGCGTTTGGCAGAAAAAAGCGCTAGCAAGCGCTTACTAGCGCTAAAATAGTTTTCGGCCAGGACACGATTGCTACTTTAGTAGCGCTGACACAATCCGCCATTTTGCTTATTTAATTTGTTTGTTTTGACGTAGTGTTTATAAGTTGTTTTTTGCAATATTAGTTTTAAGTAATATAATGACATGAATAGACATATACATGTTATTAAAAATTCATGATTGGTAAGTTTTTAATATGAATACTTCACAAACATATATTTAACTTTTGTTAGGTTCCCCGGTTAAAACTAACATCGTGTCCTAGAGGAAAATAGCTACTTACGATTTGACAGCGCTTAGCGCTTACGATCGCCATTTTGCTTACAAGCGCTTGCTAGCGCTTTTTTCTGCCAAACGCACCCATTGTGAGCATACGTTGTTGCGCGAGATGCCATTGACGGGGAAGGTGAGCGAGTCGGCCAGCAGGTGGCCGCGGCGCTGCGCCGCCCACACCAGCAGCGTGCACACGGGCGCCATCTCCGCAACTAATGTGAACATTGTGAGCATACGTTGTTGCGGGTGATGCCGTTGACGGGGAAGGTGAGCGAGTCGGACAGCACGTGGCCGCGGCGCTGCGCCGCCCACACCAGCAGCGTGCACACGGGCGCCATCTCCGCAACTAATGTGAACATTGTGAGCATACGTTGTTGCGCGAGATGCCATTGACGGGGAAGGTGAGCGAGTCGGCCAGCAGGTGGGGGCCGCGGCGCTGCGCCGCCCACACCAGCAGCGTGCACACGGGCGCCATCTCCGCAACTAATGTGAACATTGTGAGCATACGTTGTTGCGGGTGATGCCGTTGACGGGGAAGGTGAGCGAGTCGGCCAGCACGTGGCCGCGGCGCGGCGCCGCCCACACCAGCAGCGTGCACACGGGCGCCATCTCCGCAACTAATGTGAACATTGTGAGCATACGTTGTTGCGCGAGATGCCATTGACGGGGAAGGTAAGCGAGTCGGCCAGCACGTGGCCGCGGCGCTGCGCCGCCCACACCAGCAGCGTGCACACGGGCGCCATCTCCGCAACTAATGTGAACATTGTGAGCATACGTTGTTGCGGGTGATGCCGTTGACGGGGAAGGTGAGCGAGTCGGCCAGCACGTGGCCGCGGCGCTGCGCCGCCCACACCAGCAGCGTGCACACGGGCGCCATCTCCGCAACTAATGTGAACATTGTGAGCATACGTTGTTGCGGGTGATGCCGTTGACGGGGAAGGTGAGCGAGTCGGCCAGCACGTGGCCGCGGCACTGCGCCGCCCACACCAGCAGCGTGCACACGGGCGCCATCTCCGCAACTAATGTGAACATTGTGAGCATACGTTGTTCCGCGAGATGCCGTTGACGGGGAAGGTAAGCGAGTCGGCCAGCACGTGGCCGCGGTGCTGCGCCGCCCACACCAGCAGCGTGCACACGGGCGCCATCTCCGCAACTAATGTGAACATTGTGAGCATACGTTGTTCCGCGAGATGCCGTTGACGGGGAAGGTAAGCGAGTCGGCCAGCACGTGGCCGCGGCGCTGCGCCGCCCACACCAGCAGCGTGCACACGGGCGCCATCTCCGCCGACAGCACCACCGCGAAGGTCCGCACGCCCTCCTGCACAACACACATTGCTTAACTACATTTTATAATCTTATAAGGGTGATAAATGAGCATAAATTCTACCTGGTTGTAAGTGTATATACCTCTCGAATAATAATCGAAATTACGTTGTCACTCCTCAGGACTAAGATTACCTTTGTTATTACTTCACATTTTACGATACAATACAATATCTTTATTTCAGGCATCGAGGATTTAAAAATTAGGAACATTGACTCATAACAATAAATACCGTAACCTAAATTTATATTTAACACTAAAATTACAATCTACTAGGTTTCAATTAGAATAAAATGCCTCTTTCATTATTCACAATAATTAGGCTTGATGTACATAATTGTTTACGTATGTCAAAGCCCTTAAGAGTAACAACCTATTAAGAGATACAGGATGTCTGAAGTGTACAGATTACTCTGAACCATTATGAAATCGTATTTGAGCCAATCCATTCATACAACAAGCATAATATATCTCTACTATCGCTCTACCACATACAAGAAAACATGTGTTAAAACTTCTATTTCGATTACAAAGTCTCTTTTTGAGCATAAAATCCTCCAAGGTAAGTACACCACTCTCTTACTTATCTCTACCACCCAACAGCAGTGCTGTATTGCACTCTCAAGCATATAATTACGGGCTGTGAGATATTCACATGTGACAATGCATCTGTAGTCTTCTTCATTTGGAGTTGGCTGCAGGTATCCATGAACTTGAAGTAGCCATTTAGTATCACGTAGAATATAAGTATGTTGGTCGCCCAATTTTACTTACAAAATTGGGTATTGGACACCACAACGACAATTACTACGACTTATAATTTAAATTTACTACTTTCAAGTTTTTATGTTTAAGCTAATTTATATTTTATGTGAAATTAAATTTTTAGTATTTAAAAATAGATAACTATAAAAACCTTCCTAAAACGGATCAAAGACGGTTGTCAACTTTTACATAATTTAAATGATGGGTAATAAGACTTTTAATGTACGTAAATTATGGTATTTTAAAGAGTTATAATTAAATTTTATATTTTTATATGTCCATATAAAGATACTACAAATAACAGCAGAGATTACGGCAGCCATAGATAAAAATATACCTGCATTAGCTCTTGGCCGCTGGTCAGAATGATGCCTTTTGACATCACAATATAGTTGAATGACTCCATGTGGAAGTTACTCTGCACGTGGAATATTATGTATTCGCCGACCTGTCAATAAAAGTTACATAACGAAGAGTCAATAATATATCTTTTAATGCCAAAGAAGTTTTCTAAAAATTCTATTAGATGACGTCAGTTCGATTAATAACAAATAGAGGACTAAACTAAAATACCTATCGCCTATTCTTAAATCGTTTTCACTATCGTACGTCAGTGGTGTTAGTGGAGACGCGCAGGTGGTGGTTGTTGGGGATGTCGTGCGGCACCAAGTGCACGTGTGTGCGTGTGGTTGGTACCCGTGCGTCGGTGGTGCTGGTGGAGACGCGCAGGTGGTGGTTGTTGGGGATGTCGTGCGGCACGAAGTGCACGTGTGTGCGTGTGGTTGGTACCCGTGCGTCGGTGGTGCTGGTGGAGACGCGCAGGTGGTGGTTGTTGGGGCTGTAGTGCGGCACCAAGTGCACGTGTGTGCGTGTGGTTGGTACCCGTGCGTCGGTGGTGCTGGTGGAGACGCGCAGGTGGTGGTTGTTGGGGCTGTAGTGCGGCACCAAGTGCACGTGTGTGCGTGTGGGTGGTACCCGTGCGTCGGTGGTGCTGGTGGAGACGCGCAGGTGGTGGTTGTTGGGGCTGTAGTGCAGCACCAAGTGCACGTGTGCGCGTGTGGTTGGTACCCGTGCGTCGGTGGTGCTGGTGGAGACGCGCAGGTGGTGGTTGTTGGGGCTGTAGTGCGGCACCAAGTGCACGTGTGTGCGTGTGGTTCTTACCCGTTCGTCTGTGGTGCTGGTGGAGACGCGCAGGTGGTGGTTGTTGGGGCTGTAGTGCGGCACCGAGTGCACGTGTGTGCGTGTGGTTGGTACCTGTGCGTCGGTGGTGCTGGTGGAGACGCGCAGGTGGTGGTTGTTGGGGCTGTAGTGCGGCACCAAGTGCACGTGTGTGCGTGTGGTTGGTACCCGTTCGTCCGTGGTGCTGGTGGAGACGCGCAGGTGGTGGTTGTTGGGGCTGTAGTGCGGCACCAAGTGCACGTGTGTGCGTGTGGTTGGTACCCGTGCGTCGGTGGTGCTGGTGGAGACGCGCAGGTGGTGGTTGTTGGGGCTGTAGTGCGGCACCAAGTACACGTGTGTGCGTGTGGGTTGGTACCCGTGCGTCGGTGGTGCTGGTGGAGACGCGCAGGTGGTGGTTGTTGGGGCTGTAGTGCGGCACCAAGTGCACGTGTGTGCGTGTGGTTGGTACCCGTGCGTCGGTGGTGCTGGTGGAGACGCGCAGGTGGTGGTTGTTGGGGCTGTAGTGCGGCACCAAGTGCACGTGTGTGCGTGTGGTTGGTACCCGTGCGTCGGTGGTGCTGGTGGAGACGCGCAGGTGGTGGTTGTTGGGGCTGTAGTGCGGCACGAAGTGCACGTCGGCCGCCGCGCGCCCGCCCACCGCGTCCGCCAGCTGCGCCGTCACGCGCACGCCCGTTATGCCGTTCAAAACCTCGCGGTAGTTAGGGTCGTTCTCCAGCTCTGCGAACAGTGTTTCATTTTTAGTACACAGGGAGAAATGATCCAACCCACAAATTTTTTCTTGTGTTAGAAACCCCTATTATATTATATCATTTTACAGAAAATTTTATAAAGATTTTAGAATTACTCGTTACTTTTTAGATGTCTTTCATACTTGGAAACACAACAAAAAAAATCCTTTATATCATTATTTTGGTCCATTTGTGGGTTGGATCGTTAGTGGACAACACAGTAAAAATATGATTAACAGCAGTATTGTCATTGCGAGATTATAGCCTGCCCCGTGTGTGAAAATCTTAAAAATAACAAATGCATATTAGAGAGGCCTGTATCTAGTACACTTTTAAAGAATGTTTATGTGATGTAATATGATATAAGATGTGATAAATGGTGATGTGATACAATATGTGATAAGCATTATGCATACAAAAATTGCGCATTTATAAATTTTATATTTATAATATGGTGTACTGACTGAGCAGCTTGTAGAGGTCGAGGCGCAGGTGCCAGACGGCTTCGTGCCCGGGCGCGAGCGAGGGCCGCTGCGGCTCGATGGCGGCACCGCGCCCCTCCACCTGCAGCTCCACCACCAGCGACACGCCCGCCGCCTGCCAGCGCGGCAGCGGCGACCCGTCGTGGTAAGACACCGCCATCTGTGGGACCACGCCCGCCACATCACTACCCACCAACGCACACTCTAGTTCATACTAAACATAAGCACGTGCCCAATACACGCCAAGAGGGTTACTAACAATCACTTCGGTTGACAAATTTTTATACAAATATAGTTACAATATTCATAGACAAACAACAACCCACTGCTGTTATGACATATGACGTCACAACAACAGTGGGGGAAAATAACCAGCGCTATACGGCATTGCTCTTATTGGGTTCGGAGCGAACGTGTCTCTAAGTCGTGTTCTGTATGGCTGACACGCCAATTATTTAACCGAATTGTATCGGAATAGTTATAATAATTTGGGTTATAGAGATTGAAGAAAATTTAAATGTCGAAATAATGTATAAAAATAATGTATAAATAATTAATATTATAACGTTACAAAAAGAGAAAATTGGTTTCCATCAAAATATAGCGTCATGTGCTCAAACCATTTTACTGAGGATTGTTTTTGATCACAAACAAGCAGCGGCGACTAATGAGAAGTGCAGTACCTAGGCTGTTTTTGCCTCAGATGCAATACCTGTATAAAGGCTTTAGTGTCATTAAAATAAAATAGAAAGAGTCTCATATTCTACAAAGATAATGAAGGGTTAATTTATCCCTCACAAATGGTCGTTAAAATATGTCGGCGTTGCGAGTCCGGAATCAAGAAAGATTTTATTAATAGTGACTCTAAAGGAAAAATCACCGCAGAACTATTGACCCATAAAGCTCTTAACAGCTTTACAGAAGAACAATTATTCCCGAAGTATACACATCATCAATTTTACGCCGAAGAAAGCAATCATATTATTGATTTAATGAAAAGTGTAATGAAGAAATATATTGACACAAGAATGACATTTATACTTAAAAATCAAAAATTGGAAGGAAAATGTGCAGTTAGGAGAATATATACAAAATTAATTCATTTTAAAAATCAATAATAGCACTTAATAAAATAAATTAAACAAATAAACATGAAAATCTTTTTTATTCTCTTTTCAATCCATCCCTACTGCCTCGTAGTGCCTTGACCTTGAGGCGAACTATCTTGCGTATCTCCTCCCTTTTTTATAGGATAGGGTAACAAACGAGCACACAGTACACATGATGGTAAGTGGTTGCTGTGGCCCATAGACATCTATCCTCGATTACGAATCAAAATGCAGATGTCACCCATGGGGAATGGAATGCCTCGTTTCCAGTAAAAAGGGTCGCCGGTTCTCTACACCCACCATACGAAACACAGCATAAAGCTACTATTTTATGCTGGTATTCTGTGAGAGCGTGGTCCTTCCCTGGTCGAGCCGACCCATTCATGGTACAACTATACTACTAATATATCCGCAACATGGCTGTACCATGTATTAAATATTTAAATTTTTTATGTTAAAGTAACTTTATGTTAAAGTTCAACAAATCACTAAAAGTTTATTTTAAACTCCGTAAATTGAATCTTGAATTTTTTTTCGAAGTTGGCATTTATATTTTACCTGAGTATACTGTTTGAAAAGTTAGTACATTTAAAATTGCATTTCTTAGTTGCACAGGAAAATTGAAGTCACAGTCAAAAGCTAGTTACTGATACTGAAAGTATATATTAAAAAAAAAGCGAAAAAATTTATCAATACTGATAGAAAGCATAAATTCATTACAATGCACGCCCTAGCGATCGTGTTCGGAATCTCTTCGGAATAGTTCGGAGTACTTCGCAGCGATCATAACTCCCCCCACGCCGCAACTATTTGACAAAATTGTTTTCTTTTAAATTCGCATGTATTACTTCTCTATAGAGTTAAGTGCTCGTAGGGAAAAACACAGAACTCGCGTGAACGTCACGCTCAAATACATAAGATTGATAAAAGTGTAAATTTTAAAAAAATTATATGTATTTATAAATTTGTTTGTATGACATAGATAATAATATTTTTTTTCGTAAAACAGCGCAAGAAATGTGTTCGCGACGGCCTAACAACGCTAAGAAACAAAGTGATTAAAGAATATTGTTTTTGTATTAATAGTGAAATTACCGACAAAACTGGGTGAAAACATGTATTGATATAGTTGTGTAGCATGTTACTTAATGTATAGAATGTTTTGATAACAATTGATGTAAACAACTTTTATTGTATTAAGAAAAATCGACCAACCGCAGGGCGTCTTATCGTAGAACTCTCTAGAAGTTTTTAATTAACTGCGTAATAGTTCATAGTGAAAATAACTTTATGTTCTAAAAGAGTTGCAAATATGACATTAGCATATGGCTTATAGATTAAGGAAGTGTAGGAATATTTTGTATAATTAAACGGATTAGGTAGTTATAGAAATATCAAAGAATTAATGTACCCAAATATTACGAAGATTTGGGACATTTCGTTTAATAACTTTTTACAATGTTAATGTTTTGAGTAACCTTTATGATATACTAATAAAGTACCAGACTACCGATTTGATGATGTATAGCATGTTAGTGTAGCAATTAGTTTTGTATAGAAAATATTGCAATTTATGCCATTTGTATAGTGTAAAGTTTATGCAATAAAGAGGCAAAACGGAAAATGGCAAGCGGCTCACTGTAAGGTATAGCCAAAGTCTACCTTAGGGGCTCGGGACCTAGTAAAGAGTAGTGTGAAAAACTACCAGTGACAAGCAGTAGTGTCCGGTAGTAGCTGAAGTGACTAGTAGCAGTACATAATGAATAGTGAAAGTGTTAGCTAGCCGAAAAAGACTGACATTCGCAGTTACATATAGTGAAAGCGGTAACTGATATCCGCAGTGACAGCACACAAGTGATAAAATCAGCTAGTTTAGTTGATAATAGCTGCTAGTCAGTGGTGTTAGAAAACCAGCTACTACCAATAGATATTTGATACCGTACCGTACAATTTAAAGAAATCTTTTGAAATATACAGTGACCAACCAATAGTGAACAACCGTAGTCAATAAACAATAGTTATAAAATTTCGCGACTAATCAATCAGTCGATCCGCTGGCCACTACCTTGCTGTTTGTATTTATAAATCATGCATTTTGATTTGAACCTCAGTCCACAATATCTCAGCGGCACCCACAAAGACGGCGGTGAGAGTACCCACCGGAATCTATAGGTGTAGGACGTAAGCGACTCGCGAAGTATCTTCGACAACATTTACTCCGGAGAGTTTCGTCCGTCCGGCACAAAATGAAAAGACTATCTAGAGTCCACTGCTGAATAAAGACAACCTCTTACATTGTCTCAAAGAGAGATTTGGCAGATTAAAAACAGCTGCTATTAGTAGGATTCTCCAAATAACACCCCCACGCAGGATGTGCTAACATGTGACATCCGCGCCATGATTTTTTTATATAGAATAAGGGTGACAAACGAGCACATAGTCCACCTGATGGTAAGCGGATGCTGTGGCACCTACATTTATCTTCAATTAAGAATCAGAATGCACACGCTTTGTCACCCTGAAGTCTAAGATGGAATGCCTGGTTTCCAGTAAAAAAGGTCTCCTCTACACTTACCATATGAAATACAGTAGCATTATGCAGTTATACTGTGAGAGCGTTAAACTGACCCATTCGATCATAATATAGCTGGAGCATGGCTTTACCACATATAGATTTTTGCATTTTAGCAGACTTCAAAAAAAAAAAAAGAAGTAAACAATTCAACTTTTCTTATTTTTACAGAATAAGGGGGACAAAATGGTATGTTTTTGTAGTTTTTGTATGTATGATACGCGATATCCTACTATTTTTGAACCGACCTTAAAGATTTTTTTTAAATAAATAGTTTATACTATAATTTCTAATAAAAAATATCCGAATGCAATACTTACATAAACATCGAAGGGCATAGCAGGCTTAAACACTTGTACCGATCCGCCCAGAAATGTGACAGCCAATGAAGAGTTAAAAATCCTTGCTATGCTATAACCCTCTATCACATCGTCCAGAAACGGATCCCCCACAGATGCAGTGATGATCACTTCAACTCCATCTAGACTCGGCACAAGTTGCGACAGCTCCGACATGGGAAATTTGAAGTCATATGTGCCGTTGAACTGTTAAGAGAATACAAGTGAATCTTACAATATAGTTCCAAGTTCGTGTGTTAAAAAACCTAAAAAGCCTTCATTATTGAAGAAATTTCTAGAATGGTGAAAGCAGTTATAAAAAAAAAAAACAAAAAAATAAAAATACATTCTGTTGACCTGGTAATAGATTCTAATATAAAGCAACTTTTTGCAAATTGTAAAATACAGAGCATGTTATTAACTCACTCCACAGTGCAGAAAAAAGTGTGGAAACTTGCACGAGATAGAATATTCGCCGTCTTTATTACCGTTTGAGAATTGTAAAATGAAAGCTATAGACAGCTTGTTAGTAATAAAGTATCGCTTCAAATGCATTTTTTTATAGAATTAGGGTGACGAACGAGCACACAGACCACTTGATGGTAAGTGGATGCTGTGGCCCACAGACCTGTACATCTACATCTAGCCTCCATCAAGAATCAAATGCAGATCCGTAGTCAACCCCGAAAACTAAGACTGCCCAGTAAAAATGATTTCTGGTTCTCTACACTCACAGTACAAAACACATCAGCGTTATGCTGCTATTTTACCTACAATCAAAAACCCAGAACGCAAAAAACCCAAGAAGCATATATATTTACACAACTAAAACTAATATTGCACAAAACAACTTATAAACTCTACTTAAAAAAAAAAATAAACACCCACCATTAGTGCTACAACCATAATATAGCTGAAGCGTGGCTCTAGCATGTATGAATTTATTTATTTTATTTCTAAGAATTAAATGATAAACACTGCTTAATTACAAAAATAAGCATACTTACATATCTTAAATATGGCAACCGGCTATAATAAGGATCATTGTAGTAGTTGTTGTACGTGGATGTTGTATACGTGTTGTAGTTGGGGTAATCCTGGTATTGGTTCGCAATCTGAACAGGGTCTGGTTTTGGCATCCAGAATGGGAACTTTTCATCCTATGAAATGAAAAATATACTTTCAAATAACACAAGTTTTAGATCATTAGATAGATTATTATTATTAGTTTATAATCAGCTATAAGCTAGACTGCACAGATAAACATTATGATGTAATGATATAAAATATACACATAAAACTATGCTCATCCCTCTTAGTTTATGTTATGACATCATATAGTAAGTATGGAATATGAATTGAAAAAATAATATATAAAACTAGTAACTAAATTATAGCGAAATTTAATTATTATATGATACTAACGGCCAAATACTCAAATGCTACTCAGTTTTAAGATTTTGTTAAGTCCCGTGGTGTCACAGTCATTTTGACTTAAAGTTATAGAGAGTTTACGAGACTTAACGGTATCTTACAATTGAACAGTGTTTGAGAATTTGGGCACAAATCTACTCACACAAAATTTTAGGTTTAGGTTGGAACTTGATAGAATTCTGTCTATATTTTTATATAAGTTTAATGTTTAACATAATAAAAATTGAGTGTACTAGGTTTGCACTAAAAAGTAAGCGAATGTACAATTTAGACGAATATTTTACACTTACGAAATTAAATAGCCTCGTGTAGACCTTTTGTGGGTCGTACCACCAATCTGGCTGGTCAATCTGGTTTGGCTGCCCAGGCAGGTGCTTCACATCCACTGGCCCATTACGACCATCCGTGTACTCATACTGAATGCTCTCATTGTACAAATACGGATTGTAGTTTTGACGAACTGTAAATTTAAAGGGTGAATATCATAAAAAGGGCATGGATTTTGATAATCTCTATTTCGTTGGTCTGAATAATTTAAATAACTGACTGTATCGTCGTTTTGCGGTCGTAAGCACGACTGCTGTGGTCCCGGGCTCGTATCATTATACACGAGATAATTTTATATTAATTATATTTTATTACCTATTTTATATTGTTTGATTTATTAGTACAATAAAAATACTTATAAAAATATGTTTTATTTCATCATTATGTTTACTTCTATTAATCTGATGCTTTGTATCCTTTTTTTCTAAGGAGACGCAATAAAGATTTTATAATATACTTTTTTAATATAACAACAATTAACTGCAGCTTAAAAAATCTCATTTTTATTGCGTATTTTAGGTAAAACTTCAAATAGTAAGCCACAACAAGCCGCCATTGCATGTTTATGTGTCTATCTTTATCTACTCTTAGCGACGATATCGTTTTCGCAACTTGTTAAGTGAGATAGATATATGTTTATTTAAAATTGTTATTAGTTTCAAAGCTACGTCGTCACGTTTGGATAGTGGTTACACTTTTTTCGACGCGCGATAATGTGGTTTGCTCCTCTAGTGTTGTATAACTCAATGGATGTCCGAGCGTGGTCCCTCGAGCCGACCCGTTCGTGCTACAACCATAATAAAACTGCAGCGTGGCTCCACTGCGTATGATGGTGATCGTTGACTGCCTTGTGGATCAAGTGTCGTAACGATCATAATCACGAGGGTTTGAATTCCGGGTCGGGCCAAAATCAGTTAATGGGTTTTTCTGTCGATAATTTCTCAGTGACACACCGGACTCAGGAAGTTAGCGATATTACAACCCCGTGTCTCGCAAAGCAGGTAAAGCCGTTAGTTCTGCGCCGCCTGATCTCTGTCCGGTCGTGTCGGATTACTGTCTCATCGAACTTATTCTTACTTATTGAATTCTTATATTTGCTTCCGCTAACTTAGTACATAGGCTAATAACATATTTTTATTTATAGAATAAGGGTGACAAACGAGCACAGTCCACCTGATGGGTAAGTGGATGCTTCTAGATCTATACTCAATTAAGAATCAAAATTCAGATGCGTTATATCCACTGAGGACTAAAATGGAATGCCTCATTTCCAGTAAAAAGGGTCTCCGGTTCACTACCATACGAAACAGCAGAATAAAAATGACGAACTAAAAACGAGCCGACACATTTGTACTACAACTAAGTACAGCTGCTTTATTAGCTAAACCACGTATAATGGTGGTGCCTTACCCCTGGTGTACTGTGTGGTGGCGTAGAGCCCGTACGCCGCAGGGTCTCCGCGGTTGTTGAACTGGCCCTGCGTGAAGTAGCGCGGCCGGTACTGCGGTATGGGGCGCACGGTGGCCTTCAGCGTGAGGTTGCCGCGCACCGGCGCGCCCGACGTGTAGTTCGCCATTACGCGCCCGTGGATGAACGGCTCCGTATCGAAGAAGAACGCCGGCATCGTCACGTTCACCTGAGAGCAAGCGACTATGATAATAACTAATCGGCGGGCGGAGGTTCTCAAAAAACTGTAATAATTTACAAGTTTATATATTTAAATAATAAAACGGCCCGTGCCCAGGAGTGGAACATATGTGAACATTACTTTACATATCCTTACTTCTGGTTCAAACTTTGTCCTGCTGTGAACTACCTACAGATACTGGTATTTGACTATCGCAGCTTTATATTTCTGTTGCGTTGTGTTATATTTGCATTTAGAGAGGACCATACTAGTGACGCCACGATGTGATGGTTACTTTGTATGTTTTGCTACAATTAAGGATTGTATCTTTCAACATTAACTGATTACGGCAATTCAAACAAAGGATTCAATACTTGACATTCTATGTATGTTTGTGTGGATGTTGCACCGTAGTAGCGTATTAGACCGATTTTAACCAAATGTTGTGTTAAAAAAATGTTTTCAATCGATCCATTTTTATCAAAAGTCAAGGAAAAGAAAAGAAAAATATCTATTATTTTTCCTGGGTAATAATAATATTATTATTACTACTCAGCGTTTTTCATATTTTCAGCTTACTGTGTTAATATTAATTTTCGCCCAAAGATCAGTGTCATTTTAATGATTATGAATGATGATAGAATTACAATTACAAATGAGATGTTCCAAAATGTACGGAGCCTGAGCCAGGCCCTTGTACACTATACTCAAAATTAGGGAAACACATTTTAAACGGTTCTCAACTGTCCAATTATTTTATAATGGCTTTGTTTGCTGGTAAAGCACAGGAAATTACACTTGAAATAGCAACACACAACAAAAACCCGTCATGGCGGTAATCTCTCATTTTTATTGATTTGTGACGTTTGACATGTTTATTTCACGTATTTTGACACAGTTCTGACAACTGACGGTTCTCTTTCTATGAGCAATGGTTACTTTAAGGTTTACTGTCATTGTCTATACGCACAGAGTAACTAAATCGGTAAGACGCCATGTTGAAAGTCGATAAAAATAATTCATAAACATCAATTGTTTACCACGACAGTATACATTTAAATGAATTATGTGTATTTTTCCCGAATTCTAGAGATTTTTCTCTTTTTTTTTTGAGGTACATAGACCCGGCCCATTTTGAAACATCTGCTTTAGCTTTTTGTATTCCTTCTCCATATAAACTTTAACTTTGCCAAATCCCACACCTCCTTGCACGCAACATGCTTAAAAAGGGTTACAAAGTTTCTCTTCACATTTTAAGTACCTTGAGGATCATCAGCTGATTAGTGACCGCCAGCACAGGTGATCTTCTGGGTAAGCTAACTCATAGATGGGCGGAGGCAGTAAAGTCCAAGGGGGAGGCGTTGGCCGTTAGTTTGGATATAGCGAAAGCCTTGATCGGGTTTTGCACAAGGCGCTTCTTCTGAAACTTCATTCCTATGGGCTTTCCGAGAAATTGTGCAAGTGGGTCACCAGTTTTCTTGCAGATCGGAGCATCAATATAATCATAGTAGACGGTGCATGCTCCGATTACAAGCCCATTTACACTGGTGTTCCACAAGGCTGCGTGCTATCACCAACGCTGCTTCTTCTGATGCGGACGACAGCACTGGTGATGCTTTATACATCGGCCGTGCCAATATTTCTCGGGAAAACGTCGCCGAGTACTAGGACAAACTTGAGTCTGAAGTCGAGACTTTGTTGAATAAAGTCGAGACTATATTAGATTATTTATTGTATTTATATTATTTATTAGATTTAGTCCCTCGGACTGCGGACTAAATCTAGTTCAGTTCAATCCCAAAAGACACAAGTTTGCGCGTTTACTGCTAAAAAGATCCCCTGCGTCGTATCTCCTCAGTTTCTAGGCATTCTCCTCGTTGCCTAAGGTAGTAACGGAATCCTCGGCGTCTACATATCGAGTGACGTGCAGTTTCGTGGTCACTTGGAAGAGAAGGCCAAATTGGCCCCTAAAAAACTTAACGTGGTCAGCAGAGTAGGACAGTATTTCATGCCGGCACACCGCCTGCAACCCCCCCACTTTTCCCATCTCTGGACTGGGGCTCCCCAGTGCCAGCTCCTTCCATTTGATCGCATCCAGCGCAGAGCCCTTCGAATCGACGGCGACCGAGCTCTTTTCGATCGGCTAGACTCACTGGCACTGCAAAGAGATGTTGCATCTCTTTGCGTAATTTTGCCGCACTTACCACGAGGAGTGCTCTGAGGAATTGTTCGGACTAATTCCAGCCGTACAATTTCACCATCGCACATCTCGATAAAACTCCCGATACCATCCTTACTATCTGGATGACTGACGGTCCACCACTGTGCGATTTAAAAGAAGTTTTCTTCCTCGTACAACTTCCTTGTGTAATTGACTACCACCATAAATTTTTCCGGACTTATAGACCTGCAAGAAAAGAGCCTACTCCTTCAATTCCCCTGGTGTTGCAGTTGTTCATGGGCGGCGGTAATCACCATCAGGTGAACTCTATGCTCGTTCGCCCCTCTCTTATAAAAAAAATTATATGTATAAAATTAAATAATAATAATACGGCAAGCAACGGAAAAAGAAAGTCAGGAGATAATACGATTTTTACATACAACACTTGCATCAAACAAGGTTACTCTATGGTACATAGATAGTTGAATAATGTTAAAAGCTGCTTCTAGATGTTTCTATGGAAAATACCCTATATAAGGCCAGTAAAGACCGCGACCGTGTCAGTATTGAATTGGCGATTCAAGCGATATAATTGCGAATTGTGTTTTATTATTTGTGTGTTTTAAGTTGTAATTGGTGGTCAGTAATTAGTTTCAATTTTGATAATTCAATCGGCAGTTTTTATTGTTACGGACCCCAAGCTCGTAACATTATTTTAGAGTTACAATCAATACCTAACAGTTACTGCTAGAGTCCAAGTTATGGTCCAAATTCCAGATTGAGTTCGACTCTTGTACATGGCATCAGCACTTAAGGGTTTTAAAGGTATATATGTATTAGATATTTATTTACCTCGAAACGTGTTTGGTAGTACTCTTCGACGAGGAATTGCGCCACCTCAATTTGACCAAGAGCTTCCACGCGTACCGACCATTCGCCGTACTGCGGTTGGTCCGACATCTGGTACTGCAGGCTCACAGTACCGAAGTTGCTCTGTTGATTAGATAAACATATAAAAATGATCGTAACAGACGAGCTGGTTCCTTTCTCTTAAGGACTGTAACAAACTTTAAATAAAGGAGGCTACGGATGTGTTGCCACTGCAGTCTGTGCGTTTCTCTATCAGTCCAGGTATATATACTCTTAAAGTCGAATTTAAACTGTTGTGCCTCTTAGGTAGATAGAGCCATACATAAAAATAAGGAACTAAAAACTAAAACAATAAGACCTAGACATTTTTACTTTGATGCATGATTGGCACAAATAAAATAAAAAATTGTGTTTGATTACATTCTGACTCCAATTTCATTTTAGCAACGCTAGATTATTGAGAAATAAAAAGAAAGGTGATTTTGTGGTTTAACATTGAATTATAATCATTAATACTGACAATATTTTAATAATATGCAACAATCTAAGTTCACCAATATTGTCAAATGCAACTTTTATTGCTACAAAACAAATTACAAAACAATTGTTGTTCAATATACATGGTGAAGGAAAACATCGTGAGCCATGCGGTTGCTAAACTGCTCCATAACCCTGTCATCAATAGTGCAACTTTAAACTTACTTTTATACTTGTTTGATAACTTTCACAAACATAGCAAATAAGTATGAACTACAAACATACCATACTTGTAAATATTTGTTTCCTAAAAAGCCTATAATTGAGTATTAACACCACCAAAACTAACTATGTTAAAGAATGCGAATTTGCTGTATTAGCAGTGTCTCAAAACTTATACGAAGGGTGACACTGAATTAGAAAATCAAAAACTGAACAAACCAGCAAGTTATTAGTTTTATTATATCTTTTCAAAATAGTGTCCATTGACATCAATACATCGTTGCATTCCATGGAACCACTGAGAAAAGCACTTTGCCTGCACACTGCTTCCTCAGCGTCCATAAAACGTTTTCCACGAAGTTTTTCTTTTATTTTCGGAAATAAATAAAAATCGCAAGGTTCGAGGTCAGGACTACAGGGCGAATCTCACCGATGTGAGATTACATTTAAATTAGTACGATCACGTTTAAACTCATTAAACCAGTTGTAAACAGTGGCAAGAGATGGGGCTTCACCGTGGAAGACCAATCGAAGTCTATCATAACGTTCTTGTTGACTTCAATGACATCGAAAGTCACAAAAAATCATTGTACGAAAATTTTCCCGCGTTAAATTCATGCTGACGTGACACAGACAATTTTCAATTTGCCGCCAAATCGTAAACAAATGACAAATTATTAAAATACATACATAATGGGTGCGTTTGGCAGAAAAAAGCGCTAGCAAGCGCTTGTAAGCAAAATGGACGATCGTAAGCAGTAAGCGCTGTCACAATCGTAAGTAGCTATTTTCCTCCAGGACACGATGTTAGTTTTAACCGGGGAATCTAACCTAATTTAAATATATGTTTGTAAAGTATTCATATTAAAAACTTACCAATCGTGAGTTTTTAATAGCATGTATATGTTTATTCATGTCATTATATTACTTAAAACTAATATTGCACAAAACAACTTATAAATGCTACTTCAAAACAAACAAATTAAATAAGCAAAATGGCGGATTGTGTCAGCGCTACTGAAGTAGTAATCGTGTCCTGGCAGAAAACTATTTCAGCGCTTGTAAGCGCTTGCTAGCGCTTTTTTCTGCCAAACGAACACACGCCATTGGGTGAATAAACATGAATAATGAATAAACGTGAATAAACATATATATGTTATTAAAAATTCATGATTGGTAAGTTTTTAATATGAATACTTTACAAACATATATTTAAATTAGATTAGGTTCCCCGGTTAAAACTAACATCGTGTCTTGGAGGAAAATAGCTACTTACGATTTGACAGCGCTTACTTTTGAGTGATTGGGTGCGTTTGACAGAAAAAAGCGCTAGCAAGCGCTTGTAAGCAAAATGGCGATCGTAAGCGGTAAGCACTGTCAAATGTAAGTAGCTATTTTCCTATAGGACACGAAGTTAGTTTTAACCGGGGAACCTAACCTAATTTAAATATGTTTATAAAGTATTCATATTAAAAACTTACCAATCATGAATTTTTAATAACATGTATGTATTTATTCATGTTCAACTTATAAACTCTACTTCAAAACAAACAAATTAAATAAGCAAAATGGCGGATTGTGTCAGCGCTACTGAAGGTGGCAAACGTGTCCTGGCCGAAAACTCTTTAGTTTCGCCATTTTGCTTACAAGCGCTTGCTAGCGCTTTTTTCTGCCAAACGCACCCTAAAATATCGGCATAGTTCCATTTTCAAAATTTGAACTTATTTTTTATAATATCGTTTACAAGTGGCCAGTTCTAAAAACTTTCAGTGTCGCCCTCGTATTAGTGTCTTTTTAATTTTATATCAATTCACAAATAAGATGATTTGTCACCATAAAAACTATGCATCATTAGTAACTTTTGAAAAGTATTTCAGTTGACGAGAGTGTCAAATACCCGATTGGAGTTATGTATCTCTATTGTGTTTACTTACTTTATAACTCGTGTCATATAGTGACCAACATGAAGCAGGGTTTTGTTACACAGTGGAAGATTAAAGCATGCTATTAACATTAGCGACGACAAAGTCATTGTTGAATAAGACACTATTATATGCCATGGAAATATGTAAGTATGATATTTTGACACCCAATAAGGTAATGGTTTAGTCTTTATTTTAACTCCTTTAGTTTAATTTCTATCTATTTTGTTTCTTATAACTAAATAATTATTTACAATCTTTGTTAGGGCAAGGAAGTGTCCGCCGCGTTGCCCCAATGCGTGTTGGCAAAATTCACATGTCTTCGAAATATTTATATTTCTCGAACATTAAAAGTTTCTCTCACGATGTTTTCCTTAACCGCAATCCAGAACTTCCTTGCCTAAAACCCTCTTAGAAATGAGGGCAGGCCTGTGCCCAGCAGTAGGACGTATATAGGCTGTAACTTTAACTTTAATCTTTATTAGTTATATTCCCCACCCAACTACGATTTCCACGGTGTGCGGCGAATATGGCAATACAAGTCAGCATATTGGGATGCGATGCGGCATTTCATTGCATCTTATCCTTGGCGGCAGGTCTGTTTCTCGTCTGAAGATCCATCGAGCTGCGCGGATACCATAACCGATGTGATACGTCAGGCGATGGAGTATTTCATCCTCTTTGCTGACGTGCCCATTGATGGTAAAGCTCGCCCATGGTTCAACACCGAGTGCGCTCGTGCTGAAAAGCACAAGCATTTAACGTCCTTATCCTGGGTCGATGGCAAAGCCCCGGATGTTAGCCTTAAGAAGAGAGCCTTTAACCTAGCCACCAAGTCTTGCAAAAAGGCGTTACGGCAAGCCAGTTTCCGAAATGTAGGATACATCCGGCATGCATCCTTTAAGTACACTGACCGCCTTCAGTTGTTAGGGGTTGAATTTTCTTCGACTCAACTATGGGCGGTTCATTGAGTCCAGAGCCAAAACAGCCGCAAGGAAACTTGCTGTTCTTGCAAGGGTGCGGCGGTACTTCACGCCGGGGCAGCTTATATAAAGCGCATGTCCGGTCGTGCATGGAGTACTGGTGTTACATATGGGCTGGTGCTGCAAAATGCCACCTGGCAGAGTTTGACTCAGTGCAGAGACGTGCGAAGAGGCTCATTGGTGACCTTGATTTGGTTGAAACCAACCTTGTCGGTCTCGAGAATAGACGCAGAGTAGCCAGCCTCTCGGTATTCTATAGGATGCATTTCAAAGAGTGTGCGCAGGAATTGCATGCTTTAATTACTCCCTCTCCTTTCCACCATCGGACTACCAGGCGGTCGGCGGGTCATCACCCCTTTGTTGTCGATATTCCATGCATTAGAACCAAACGGTTTACTTCGACTTTTTTAATGCGTGCAGCAAAGGAGTGGAATAATTTGCCGGCGTCTATCTTTCCGTCCGAATACAATCTGGGCGTCTTCAAGGCAAGAGTTAATAGGCATTTGTTACGCTAATATAGTGCGATTTACCATCTAAGCTGCATCACCACTTACCACCAGGTGGGCTTGTAGTCAAGCATTGGCTTATAAAAAGTGAAAAAATAATTAACTTCGGCTTTTTATGCCAGGTATTGTATGTTAATGGCGTTGCTAGCATTTTGTTAAATGTTTTATATATTGTATTTTTAATATACAATAGTTTATTATATAAGTAGTCAACTACACTAACCTGCCGTGATAACCACCTCTTCATGATCCGTCCATTGGGGTCCAAGATATATACGTCGATAGCTCGGCCGGACGCCTTCAGTTCGGTAGTTATTGGTATCACGCGGAATTTCACTGTAAGCAAAATATGCATAGAATTTAGCAATATTCCTAATATTTAACGGTAAAAGACTAAAAATCAATTGCGTCGAACAAACGAAACTTTAACTTTCACTGTAGAAAGAAATAAAGATATTTCATTATTGAAACCAATGTTTAGGGCACTTTATAGCACCCATGATCCACTAAGGAAATTAAAATAAAACAAATTAAGCTAGATAAAATTGGTTAGTAAGAGCCGTGTTAACTCAGATGGTTAGCGTTCGCTGTAAATTTCACAATACGCGAGCAAACCGGGTTCGATCCCCGCCGGCATCAATGAAATTGTTAATTGCAATTTTAAGTGCTGATTTACCACGTGCTCAGCGGTGAAGGAAAACATCGTGAGGAAACCTGCATATCTGAGAAATAAGAAAAAAAATATTTCGAAGACATGTGAAGTTCGCCAACACGCATTGGGGCAGCGCGGCGGACTATTCCTTGCCCTAAAACCTTCTCAGAAATGAGAGGAGGCCTGTGCCCAGCAGTGGGACGTATATAGGCTGTAACTTTACTTTACTTTAAAATTGGTTATACATAATGTGTATGTTGTATTTGTGTAAATGTCAGAAATATTGAGATTTCATTATGGTTATATTGAGTAAATCTAAGAACGTACCAGTCTGTACTTGCTTAGTCATGCTTGTCTAGCTGTATGAATATGGTTATATTGATTAAATCCAAGAACGTACCAGTTTGTCCCTGCTTATAGACGGGCTTGTCTAGCTGTATGAATATGGTTATATTGATTAAATCCAAGAACGTACCAGTTTGTCCCTGCTTATAGACGGGCTTGTCTAGCTGTATGAATATGGTTATATTGATTAAATCCAAGAACGTACCAGTTTGTCCCTGCTTATAGACGGGCTTGTCTAGCTGTATGAATATGGTTATATTGATTAAATCCAAGAACGCACCAGTTTGTCCCTGCTTATAGACGGGCTTGTCTAGCTGTATGAATATGGTTATATTGATTAAATCCAAGAACGTACCAGTTTGTCCCTGCTTATAGACGGGCTTGTCTAGCTGTATGAATATGGTTATATTGAGTAAATCCAAGAACGTACCAGTTTGTACCTGCTTTAGTCGTGCTTGTCTAGCTGTATGAATATGGTTATATTGAGTAAATCCAAGAACGTACCAGTTTGTCCCTGCTTATAGACGGGCTTGTCTAGCTGTATGAATATGGTTATATTGAGTAAATCCAAGAACGTACCAGTTTGTCCCTGCTTATAGACGGGCTTGTCTAGCTGTATGAATATGGTCATAAAGCGGCTGGAGAATGTCAGTTGCGTCTCGTTGACAAAGGCCCGCCCACCGAACGGGTCGTCCAAGTACAGGCCCTCGACGCGTAGCTTGTAGTCTCCCGGCGCCGTCGTGAACGGCATCTGGTGTTAAGCAAGTTTTTCTAAGATGTTCGAGATATTAGCCAGGAAGCTTTTACAGCTTCATTGGTATTCAGATGTGCTTAGACATAATTCAGCATTTTATAATATATTTTTTTTATAGAATAAAGGTCCACCTGATGGTAAGTGGATGCTGTGGCCCATAGACATCTACATTTACCCTCCATGAAGAATCAAAACGCAGATGCCTTGTCAACCCTGAGGTCTAAGATGGAATGCCTCGTTTTCAGTAAAAATGGGTCTCCGGATCTACACACTCACTATACGAAACACAGCAGTATTAAGCTGCTATTTTACACTGGTATTCTGTGAGAGCGTGGTCCTTTCCCGGTCCGGTTCGTGCTACAACCATAATATAGCTGCAGCGTGACTCTACCACGTATAAATATGATATAATATGAAGCATTGATGAGTTGTATAAGAAAATACTAATTCATTAAGAAATTTCATTCACCATCATTCATCACAGCGCATTAAAGGTCCACTGGTGAACATAGGCTTCCTCTATAGACTGCCTCATTGGAGGGTACCTGCTATAGTTCCCGCGCTTGGCAAGCGGGTTGTCAATATTTTACTCCGTTATCAGGAAAATGTTGCTGTCCAACTGCCGTTTTATTACGTTCTGATGCCACTTAGCACACCCTCTAATAGATGTGGAGGTATGATACCATATAGTATGATTTTTATACGCCCCACTAAACGGCGTTTATACATTCTTATTTCTAAAAATACTTACTTAGTAGAACAACATTTTGTAAGTCATTACAAATAGGGTTTTATTTAAAGAATTAAACGGTGACTTTTAAACCTCACTAAGTTACCTCTAAGCGGTCAGCCAGCGCAGAATCTATTTCACCTGATGATGATGTAGATGCGAAACACGTGTCGTATTGTCGACGATGGTGTCTTTCCTAGTGTAGTGGTGCTGACAGTAGTGGTGACGGGGATAGTGCACGCAATTGAGGGAGGGCGGAAGGTGCACTTAATAGGTAACACACATTTTATTTTATTACGTGGATGTAGCTAATTGATACTTAACATCTATAATAGATTTGCGCAAAGTAACGCCTAATTCTATTAACTATTAATATTTTAATTTGTTATTTTGTTAAATTTTACATTTTATCATATGTTTAAGTGTTGATTAAGAGAAAAATTTTAAATAACGTGACTTAAAATTAATCCTGTTCAGATAAGTCATGCCCATTCATTTTTTTTAGTTAATTTTGCGTTAAGAGATCGTATAAAGTAAACTTGGCTAACCAGTACATTAAGTCCTTTATTGAGGACAAAACCAGGACTTTTCAACGACATCAGAGAGAATTACTTGTAGTTAAAACCGCTTATGTTTTTCACTTCGCTTAATATTTATTTTAATTTCAAAAAGAAAAATGGTGGTATATTATACCGACAAAAGATTCTAACAAATAGTGCTGCATATTTTACTTTTAATTATAAAATATTAAAGCTCAAATGTATTATCCGATATTTCGTATGTAACCTATAAAATGATTAGTGCGTAACAGGTAATTTTATACAGTATGTAATATTATTTTCAAGTTTGATATTCAGTAAAACGGAGACAATAGATCATTCTGTATAAACGTATCAGTCACAATTTCTTTGCGCGTGCTCTTGACTTACAAGCATGGGCCACCAGACGACAATAATCGTGTACTCCGATCCGCCCCCATTGTATTCTACGATTCACAATTCCAAGTCCACCAATATTAGAGATACCATATGTTAGGATTTGGGCTGATTTAGGTATTTTTTGGAGGCTTTTTCAATACTTCAATAAGATTCAGTAGATATTTTACGTGCTAAAGACTGACGTTGAATTAACTTTGCATGACGGCTCCGTGGCGCAGTAGCTTAACAATGAGTTATAGCGCTAAGTGCCGCGGGTTCGAATCCCGCACGGAGCAAGCATTTGTATGGCCTACAAATAATTGTTCCGGGTCTGGATGTTTGTCCTTGTGAAATTAATGTTTGTAAACTGCCCCCACGATACACGAAAAAATCCTAGTGTGGAGGTAATGTTTTTTAAAAATAAGACAAAAAATCTTTACAATTGGTAACCCTATCTACAATATCCTCAAAATAAAACTGCCAGTAAGTATAAAAAAGAATTTTTAAAATAGTGTCTTTAAAAATAAATCATTGGATGCAGCGAAACTAAACTTACGCGCATGTTCAAAATCTCCGGTACTCCCTCTTTGACTTTCTCTATGACATCGGCGACCTCAACGCCGTTGCGTGAGATAGATGCGCGGATGGTCATCTGTAGACGCGCACGCAAAATGTTGGCCGAGATCTTGTAGACTTGGCCGGGACGGACCATGCGGGACGCCACTATGAAATATGTGCTGAAAAATATGCATAGATTAACTTAACATCAAAATTATTTTGGGATAATATTTTTTTATATACCATTTTTGTTCATATTCTTACACAGTCAACCAACTCTGAGCTATGTTGAAAATATCGAGTATCTCGTTCATCGAGAAATTACTGTAAAATCAATACTAAGTTCTATGTACGTTCGGGTAGAATTTAGCACTTAATTTAGAAATTAAATATATAAAAATGTGGTAAAATGGTTTGCAACCTCTGTCTTAAGACAGCAAACCATTTTCTACAGGGCTATTTACAGAATTAAACATAGCATGCGTTGAATTAGAGCGTAATTAATTCAATAAGAAACGATAAAAATAATATTTAAATTAAAACCGATGGAGAATAGGCGAAACTGCGGTTGACAACCCGCTCGCCAAGCGTATGCAACTATGACAAAATCTCTCCTATGAGGCAATCTATGGCGGATGCCTATGTTCAGCAGTCGACGTTGTATAGGCTGTAATAAATAAAAAATAGCCCTTGTCTTGTGCTGGCTTATAATCTATAATATTGCCAAGTTTCTTCAAAATCCGTTCAGCAATTTGTAACAAGTAACAAAAATACAAACATTCGCATTTATAATATATCTATATTCTTAAATAGAAAAGTAGAATTTACGCATTTTTAAAAATGTATAGGTAGAGGGCATAAAATTACAATTTGCGAGTTTTAAATTTATAATTATAAAAGAGTTATTTATTATTATTTATCGTTTATAAACAAATAATAAACACTTACGCCTCGTTAATAATGACGCTATCATGTTCCAATTCAGAGACTTTAAGCGAGGTGCCGTAATTTCGACCCCCGTCCCAAGGTCTTGGAGTATTATCGGGGTTATAAGTGTTCTGCCCGTACGTTTGATCATTTCGATTTTCATACTGGTTGTACTGGTTCCGGTTAGGATCGTACTGGTTCCGGTTAGGATCGTACTGGTTCCGGTTCGAATCGTACTGGTTCCGGTTCGTATCGTATTGGCTCAAATCATACGGATTCCTGTTGGGGTTTCTTCTGTTTGGATCGTAGGGGTTGTCATACTGGCTGCTCGGGTTGGAATAGTCGTTGGTGGGGTTTGGGGCGTCTGGGTTGTAAGAAGGCGTGCCGTAGTCCTGCCCCGTGCATAGCTGGACCATTGATACCAATGTCAGGTATATCAATATGATATTCATTATTCAATCTTGATGGGCTACCTGCAAAATAATATTAAAAATTAATAATAAAGTTATTAACGAGTTGGTACTGAATTATTCGCGCACAATCAATCAACGTTAGATGGAAAAAAGTATTATAATTACAAACATTGTTTTTTTTTTGATGGCTCCATGGTGCAGTAGCACAGCAATGAGTTATAGCGCTGAGGGCTGCGGGTTCGAATCCCGCACGGAATAAGTATTTGTATGGACTACAAGTCATGGTTCCGGGTCTGGATGTTTGTCCTTGTGCAATTTATGTATGTAAACTGCCTCCACGAAACAGGAGAAAATCCAAGTGTGGGGGTAACTTTAAAAAAATAATAGATATACCTAAGTTAGTACATATTTTAAACACCAAGCCAATCACCATTTCGGCTACTACAACCAACAGACTAATGTTTAATCGCAAAATTTTAAGACTACACACTAAGTAGTTTTACAATACATATTTTTTAAAGAATATTAACAATGCTATAAACATTACTAATATTCCCCTTAACCACTCGTGGTAAGCTTAAATTGCTTGTGTTACGAGTGGTTCACGCTAGTAGTCGAATGGCGGATTCGAACCCACGACCTTTTTGAGTTCGCGGTCCGCGCCCCGCCATTAGGCTACTGTCGGTTAAATGTGTTCCATATGCAAATTCTATATGTAAATATAGTTCCGTGCGTGTCGAAAGGCACGATAGGCAAACTGGAGCAGGACATGGGCAGCAGCATCTTCCTGATAACAGCACAACATATTTAAAAAAAGCGGCTGCCAAGCCGTCTGCCAAGCGTGGCTAATAAATAAAATACGGAGGATTTGGACAATCTATGGGGGAGACCACTTTTATAAGCCGTAATGAATGGAATGGAATGTAAATTGCAACAAAATCATGTTAAAAAATTATTTTTTATAGAATAAAGGTGACAAACGAGCACACAATCCACTTAATGGTATGTGGATGCTGTGGACCATAGACATCTTCATTTATTCTCGATTGAGAATCAAAACGCAGATGCGTTTTCACCCCTGAGGACTATGGAATGCCTCGTTTCCAGTAAAAAAGAGTCTCCGGATCTCACCATACGAAACACAGTAGCATTAAGCTGCTATTTTACGCAGGTATTCTGTGAGAGCGCGGTTCTTACTCGGTTAAGCCGACCCATTCGTGCTATAACCATAATATAGCTGCAGCGTGGCTCTACCACATATAAAAAATCTGCTATAATATATAAGTTTGTGGCGAGGTAACAGAACCTATAACCACAGTCTATAAATCCATGTGTTTTTATTATACTGTGCTATAACTCCAACTTTCCCCGTAATAGCCACCACGTATGAAAAGGGTTTACCTAAAGAAAATACCCGGCAACTTCAAAGACTCGAGACTTCTGCAACCGCGATTGCCAATTCGAATGACAAGCGAGGTATATCCGGCATATTCTAGTTGAAGTTGCCCCGATTTTACAATATTACACAGTGTGAACGTTTGCGATAGGTCGCGTACACTAGGATAAGTAGCGTTAGGCCGACTAGCACTAAGTAAACCTAATTTTTTCTACCATTATTGGATTAAGTCAATAATTAACCAACGACATGCAAAATGCAACTTTCTTGCCTAACGTAAACAGCTTCTATATAATCGTAATACTAAATTGATGACTTTAATAACGGAGACTATCGTGCTTCGCTAAGAATATCATACGCATAATACATAAACACTCGCGCCTGTCACCCAGAGGGGTACACAGAGACTACAGACTTCTATTTGGCACGATCTTGACACACCTCTCGCGACTCCTCCACATCCATATAACTACGCATACATGCTCGTCAGTTAAGGGGACCCCTAATTTAGCCCATTTTCAATATATCGCCTATTTGTTCAATAAACTTTCGCCTAGCACGTCCCTTTTCGCCTCTGCCGTTCACTTCCGCAACATAAATTTGCTTCGTCACTCTTTACTCATTCATTCTTTCTACATGACCAAACCATCAAAGCATTCCTTTCTTAATCCTGGTCACAACATCATCATATACATGATGTCCTTATTTGCAACTTTCTGTTAATCATCAACCCATTCGTCCTGTGGGTGTCGTAATAGAAAACTATTAAACATGCCCGAAAAACCTTATCCTTATGGGCTTATGGCTTCAAATAGATGGCGATGTAAGCATTACGTTTAATTAAATAGTCAGACCGGTGAAGGGCTACAACAACATTATAGCATCATCATATGTGCTAGACGTCTGGCACTATCGTCACCAATCCGCCTGCCAAGCGTGATGATGAAAGTGAACGCTCCTTATAACCGGAGAGGAACATATCCATAGACTTTTATGGACTGGTGAAGATGTATTTATGTACCTACGTATTTGTGTTAAGGATAATTGTTTTTTTTTGGTAAGTGGATGATGTCGCCCATGGACATCTACATTTAACCTCGATTAAGAATCAAAATGCAGATGCGTTGTCACCCCAGAAGATCAAGATGGAATGCCTGGATTCCAGTAAAACGAGTCTCCGGATCTCTACACACACCATACGAAACACAGCAGCATATACAGATTGTCATGTATTTGTTTGTATTCATATTTGTGTAATTTTTAAGCCTTATTTTAATATGTGTTATATCCATTTATGTAAATTTTTCACCACACCGTGGGTTGACTGGCACAGAATACTAAATAGCATTAAGTCTGCCCTTTGTGATCTTTACGTTTAAAGTAATAAAGTTTTTATATAAATAAATGAGTGGAAGGAATAATCCTATTTTAGTTTTAAAAAGGACCTTTTTATAGAATTAGTGCGACAAACGAGCACACAGTCCACCTGAGGGCCAAGATGGAATGTCTCAATTCAGTAAAAAGGGTCTTCTGATCTCTAGACTCACCATACGAAACACAGCAGCGATGAGTTGCTATTTTACGCTGGTATTTTGTGAGAGCGTGGTCCCGGTCTAGCCAACCCTTTCGTGTTACAACCATAACATAGCTACAGCGTGGTTCTACCACGTATAATTTTTTTTTTTTTGAAATTCCTTTAATTAACTAAAAATGAAACCAAATTTATTAGACGTTTAATCGACTAATAAATATCCGGCTCAGTACTCACAATTAAAAAAATCGATTTATTATTTTTTTTTTTTTTGAACCAAGACATCAAATTTGCAAATTGATAGCGGGAACAGAAAGGATCGCTACCGAACATAATAATTTTGCAGTTTTTTGATGCAGCTACTGTTGCGGTTTATTGTAGAGAATGGTTGACAAGATAGGGGTATTTGGTGTTACCAATATTGATCGCAATGTGAAATGTTATAAGCGCTAATTAGCCCACAACACCAAAAGGCTTACGTAGGAGTAAGACATCTTTTGGTAACGTTCTGTGTGGTGCGCTAGTGTAGGGTTTAGGTGCATCGCCGTCATTCTACGGTGCCAATTACAACAATTCTTATAATAATTGATAGAATCAGGCATTATTTTGCGGAAATCCATTATAATAAAGACATTAATAGTTATTTTGGAACCATCCGCTCAATTAAATACAATGATGTGTCTTCCCTATTATGAAGATCACCTCCCGCCCTCCCTTCCTTAGCTGTCAGCCGCCGTAGAGTCAACATCACCTGAAGATGCTTCGTGTAGAGGCGAAACACGTGTCGTCTAATCGTCGATGGTGTGTCTTTCCTAGAATAGTGGGGTTGGGAGTAGTGGCGTTGGGAGTGGTGTTGCTGGGATTGATGGTGACGGGATTAGTGCACGCAATTAAGGGAGGGCGGGAGGTGCTCTTCAAACTAGCTAAGACACATCATTTTATTTTATTGAGCGGATGGTTGCAAAGTAACTTAATATCTTTATAACAATTCTTATACCAAGCTCCGACGCATTAAAATTACATATATAACATATGCCAGTTACTTCTTCAAGTGGGACGTCCGCTAAGTTGTAGAAATAGAAATAGAAATAGAAACTTTTTATTCAATGTAGATTATAAAAATATTTATTGAAGGTCACTTTTTTAATTTACCACTGGTTCGCAAAAAAAAACCTCTGTCCTGGGAAGAACCAGCAAGAAACCCAGCGGGACTATTTTTTTTAATAATAGCTTACAATAATGTTTACAATCAACAACACAAGACAAATTAGAAATAGCTTGGTAGCGATCACCCTTTCCAGGGGTTATTATCATCCATAAATTCCTTAATATTATAATAACCCTTTTTATACAAACTTATTTTACTAACATTTTTGAACTTTGTGTATGACAAATTTTGTATATCTAGACGAGTGCAGCATCAACAATATTATACTGGCAGTCACAAATCACCATTGTGGTGCGGCGCTGCTTCCCATCACCAGTTTGCAGGACTAGGAATGGATATCACACTTTTGTTTGTTGACTCATTTGTTTATAGCAGCAGATGTCCTATATACCGCAGCAATAAACTTAATATTGACAATTATGAAGATGAAAGTTCACGTTTCAGCAACCAACTTTCGCTTGCTCTTTGAACACATGATATTATCTGCGTTTCTAACTACATGCTCTATTAACACATTCAAGTATAATATAATATGTAACATTATAAACTCGGCAAGACAACTTTTTTTATAGGGTTGCCACCTTTTTATAATAAACATATAAAATTGAAGTGTTTATCTGTAATGTTGAAATAACTGGTTATTATTAATCTCAGGGAATTACTTGCATCCTATTAAGACACAAATAACCACTTTTGTTTGTCTGTCTGTCCGGGCTAATATTCAAAATGGTTGAATCGATTGCAATGAAAATTTACGCACAGATAGAGATTTATGCCAGGTGGATCTAGGATATATTTCATATGAAAAACGTTAAGATTTTTTTTGATAACATTAATAATCCTATCCAAGCGACGCCGAAGCGGGTAGCTAGTGTTGAATAAATTAACAATTCCTAAAATATGTTCTT